CACCAGATTCACCCTTTGCCAATGTGTTCATAAGTGAGAAAGAATTCCTGTAAGCCACCGACATGCAGAGGCTGTTGTTGCTGAGATTTTACATATTCTCAATCTCTCTCATATATATATGGTGTGTATATAATACACATAAGTAAACTCACCTAACTTTTTTCTTAACCATTTGAGGGTAAGTTACATACATTATGGCTCTTTAATCTTCAACCCTTCAGTCACAGTACTTTCTCCGCATACTGCGTACTTAGTATTTCCTAAGTAGGACACTGTCTTACATACCACACTCCAATTACCAAAGTTAGGACATTTAACATTGATTCAAAACTCTAATCTATCACTGTATTCCAGTTTTGTCTATGGATGCAATTTTATCCTCTATGGTATTTTCCTCATTCCAGTGCACGATCTAGTCTAGGGTCAAGACTGTATTTAGTTTTCACAGCTGTTTAGCCTTTTAATCTGGAACTTTTTATCCCCTTTCTTCTCTGTTTTCAGAGCACTGACATTTCTGAAGAATACAATCACACACACACACACACACACACACACCCCACACCTTAAAAAAAAAATAAAACTGTCCTTCATTTCAGGTGTGCCTAATGTTTCCTTGCGGCCAGATTCAGGTTATTCATTCTCTGCCACGACGCTACAAGGTGCTGTTCTGTCCTTTTCAAGGCCGTACATTTGGAGCCGCACGTGCCCATCTGATATCAGTTTTTAGCACCTGTGATAGAGTTGTCTGATCTCACTATTGTGTATTTACTACTATTTTCCCTCTTACGATTAATAAGCAGTTTCTAGGCAGCCACTTTAAAACCATGTTAATATGTAAATATTCTGCTCTTCATCAAAATTTCCCCTAGATTTAGCATGATGATTCTAGTCTGATTCAGTCTGGTAATCATTCTGTTTAGTAAAAGACAGATGCAAACTGCTGATTTCCCAAATCCAGCAGCCCCTCTGTAGTTCACCAGTCAGCACTCAACCAACTACGACAAGCAAAGAGCCCTCCTTTCTTCTGATTAATAATTATCTATGTACTGCACTAATGATATGACCTCATGAATGACTTTTTTTTCAATGGTTTGCAATTCATTACTGTATTTAACTATCTTGGTCTCAAGTACTCCCAGGTTTGGCCAGTGGGAGCCCCTTCAGGCTGGTTTCTGGTAACACGCTCCCTTCATTTTGAACACTTCCTTATTTTCTACACATGCCAGGTTCATCCTGTACTTTTGAAACAGCAGCAGTACAACATCAGGCTTTCGAATTTCTGCTAATCTGATGGCATAGTTGTTTTTTAAAAAACAGATGTGTTGAGGAAGAATTTACTTACGGTGAAAGTTACTCATCTTAGGTATATAGTTTGATAACTTTGCTTCACCCGAGGTCACAAAAGCTTCTTCTATAATTTAATCATTTTAGTTCCTATGTTTAAATCAACAATCCATTCAGAGTTAGCTTTTGAGCATGATATGAGGTAGGGGTTGAGATTCAGTTTTTTCTCACATTAACTATTCTCTACTTACATCATCATGCGTTGTAACTAGCATCTTTCCCCACTGAACTGTGTATGAACTTTTTCCAAATATCAAGTGACCATAAGCATGAGGCAATTTCCACTGGTGTAGAATGCTATTAGCTCCAGGCAATTATTGGTGTATATCTTGCTAGCTTGTAAATTTTTCATGAGCTTAGTTTTATCATTGATTCTCTTGGGTGTTATGAATTACTATTATATCATCTACAAACTGATAGTTTTATTTTTCTTTTCTAATTCATGTGCCCTTCCCTTGTTTTTCTAGTCTAACTGCATTTTTTTGGTGCTATTTTTATCAGGCTTAGGCATCAAAAATTAAATTTGCTTCCAGACAAGAATTTGGAAATTTTCTTTCATTATTTTGTACTCTGTGGCCATTTATACACTTTGCAGATTGATTGTCATGGGTTTGGTTAAATTCCCCTTGAAACCATCTGGCCTGGTCCTTTTCTGGGGGGTAGTTTCGTGCTAGCTTTTCTTAGTCTATGGATATAGGTCTGTTGAGCTTTCTATCTCTACTGAGGTCAGTTCTGGGAAAGTACATGTTCCTAAGAAAACCTTTTTCATTTAATAAGTGTGTTCATCCCATACATATTATTTAGGATGACTACTGTGCTTTGTCTCAATGGTCATAATGTTCTTTTTTGTTGTTGAAATTATTGAGTACCTTATATTTACAGGATTTCTTTATTTCGTGTGTTCCTTTTGTTTTTTTTTAATATTCTTTTGGTATTTTGGGAGGTTTGTATTTTCATTCTATAGGTTAGTTACATTTATATTATTATGTTTTTAAATTACTTAAACATTGCTTTTCATGGTGACTGAAATCCTCTCTACTTTTACCTAATCTACTCGATGTTTCATGTGGTATCCGCTGACCACTACCTTTTACTAAAGAAGATAATGATCATATTCTATTCTCCCCCCTTTTCTCCATCACCCTCTCATTTTTTAAATAAATTACATCTTTTGATTTCTGCCAGACATGTAATGTTTTCACATTGTTCTTTTACCCATGAACTTACCCTCACTTTAGTCTAAGCTAAAATAACATCTGTAAAACGCTCACTGTTTGAAAGTTCTTGCCAAAGGTAGCACAGTTATTTTTTGGTCCGATGAAACTCATCTTCTCCTGGAGTCCTCAGGAACACCATGTGGATGTGATCAGTGTTCCAAATTGCTTTTCCATTGCCTTGACATCTGAGTGTCGGCTTGGTCGTATACAATATATTTGGCTCACACTTTTTTCTTTTAGTTTCTCAAAAATGTTGCTCTACTACTGCCTTACTTTACATGTTTGTAAAGTTGAGAAGACTGATGCTGACCTTTGTAAGTTATTTGATCTTTCGACTTGGAGACCAGTGCGTATTTTCCTCTATTTTTAAAGTCTAAGAGTTTTACTGAGTATGTCCCAGAGTTGATCTGTCCAGGTCAAATTTCCCCAGTACCCAAAACAGATTCTGGTCTTCTCTTAGTTCTGAAAAGTTTTCTTAGTCCTAAATATTAGTACTGTTAAGGTGCTTTTATTTTCTTCAGAGAAACTCTTTTTTTTTTTTTCTTTCATTCTCATTTTTCCTGGTATTTTTTTCTGGTTTTCTTCAATGCCTTTTCATTTGACTACATTCTCTCTTGGGCAATTTGTAATTTAGTTTTCTTTTCTAATTTGATTTTGTCTTTTCCTTCTCTCTTTTCTAAGTTTTATCAAGTCTCTTCCAGTTTTTGGTCAATTTCTCTTCTTAGTCTTTTAATTTCTAATTTTTAATGTCCAATGCTTGCTTGAAGACACTTAATTGAGTTTGGAGTGTGGTAGTACATTTTTTTGACAACTTTATTGTTAAAATGTTTTGAAGAGGAACACATGTAATTCATATTGTCTGATTTTTACAGCTGTTCTGTAGTGATGGGGACAGATTTTTTTTTTCCTATTCCTTTTTCTTTCACAGAAAGAGTTCTCAGTTCAACAGCACCCTCTTCTGTGCAACTTCTTTTATGGATCTAGTGGATGGTTATGGAGTGGATAGAGGGAGGAGGTTTGGTCAATATTGTTTCTCTGCATTTACGCCAGATCCTTAATTTTCCCCTCTTATGCCCTCCTTTCTCTTCTACTCTCTGTCTCTCTTCAATTTTTATAAAGGTTTATTTGAGCCAAACATTGCCAAGAAGTGAGATATCAAATCTGGAGGGACACACACACACACACAAATGTTTTTTAAAGATTCCTCTCTGTATTTCAAGTCATTTCTTCCCCTGCTGATGCAACTGACCAGATGTCCAGTGTAATGTGTTCACACAGGCCAGTACTGGTGAGGGTTATTCAATGTCCTTCTTTCTCTTCATGTCCTAATCTCCAAGGGATACCACCCCTTCTCCATTTATTCGATTCTCCCCCAGAAGCAGTGACCCTCAAGGCTGCCGCCTCTGGGTGCACACACCTTCTCTCAAGTCCCAGGAACCACCAAGTCTCATGACTGTGTTCAGTATTTTGGCATTCATTGTTCCATTTTCTTCTGGTGGTGAGTTTATTTGTGCTTCATCTAGTTGCTGTGCTTCTCCTGATTCTTGCTCAGTTTTGAAGCCTTACCTCCTCTGCTCTTTGTATCCCAGGTTTTTTTAAACTGCAGGACTTAAAAAATTTTTTTATATGTACTTTGAAGGCTGTGGTCTTCTCTGTCACAGTCATACTGAAGGTATGGGGCCTGTATGATTTTATTTACGCTATTGGTTTTATGTTTTCTGGGAGGATTATGTTGGGGAGATGCAAAACCAAGTGACTGCCACTGATCTCTAACAATGTTCTCCTAACTTTCTCATTATTCTATTCTTTGCCTGTTACCTGTATATCTATTTTATGGTATCATTGTATCTGTTGTAAGCTACCAAAAATTCTTTGAAGAATTTTTTACTTTAAAGTAAAATACCTTTTATTTTAGTAAAACACCTTTAAAGTAATAGCTTTTATTATTTTTGTTTTTATTGTTATTCTATTACAGCTGTCCCGATTTTCCCCCTTTTGCCCTCCTCCACCCAGCCCATCCCCCCCTCTCCCAGAGTCAGTCCCCACACAGTTGTCCAAGTCCGTGGGTCATTCACAAATGTTCTATAAAAGTAAAAAATGCTCTATCTTACAGGGCCATTTATTCTATTGCTTATTTTGCTTTTACCTTTAATAATATAAGGTGTGAATAACAGCAGGAAAAAATAAAAGAGAAAGAAGAAGAACAGAGAAGCAGTAAGAATGATTTTTGCTCTCAATGGATATCTGGCTTTGAAAGCAACTTCAAAGAGGAGTTTTAATCTTTCTTTGAGCAGTAGCAGCAATACTCCAGGACCGATGGCCTCTGTTACTCACATGTACATGTTCAAGGATATTGTACAGCATCATTGCTTTATAATTATACCCTGTACAGTTTTGCACACATGTACAACAAAACACATACACAATGCATGCACTTACCTGTTTCACATTGTGGAGTTCTTCTGTCAATTGTTTCCTTTGTCTTTCTGATTCAAGTAATTTTTCCTGTATTTAAAAACCACTGAATTAATAACTTGTTACGAATATCAATGAGTGTCACTTTTAGGGCTTTGTTTCAAAGCTTATAAATGCCCCAAATACCCAACTGCTACAATCTGAAAATTTAGTTCCATCCCTTTTCTGGTTTTCCATATATCGTTTAAAAGTAATTAGCTATTTACAATATAATTGTGATGAAAATGGGTTTTCTGTTACTTTAATTAGCTGTTTTGTAAAGTCTCAAAATCTCAGGTCCAACAAAAGTCAACAAGGATCAAAATGTATAAAAATTAACTAAATTTTGGGTAATAAATATCATTGCCAAAGAGCTTCCAAACTGAAGAGCATTATTATTACAACTTGGAAGTCCCTCTTGCTACACTGAAGAAGACACATGAAACTGAGCTGAATATCATTTGCCTAATTTAATGTATTCTTGGAAGATCATCCATAAAAATGGAGATATGACTGGTGTAATTGAAATATGAAATGATAGTTCTTAAGGTAGAATAATATACATGCTAATCAAATATTATCACATTTGAATTTAAAGTTAAGCATAGACCCTAAAATGTTTACTTTTAAATATATTATAAATAAATGTACATGTTCTTGATCAAATCAGAAAAATTAAGTATAATTTAAGAACCGTTACTATATACTTGAACAGAGGCATTGCTTGAAGATTAAACTGAGTAGTAAGTACTCATGGCAACACTGTCATGTTGTGAGAAGTAATCTGCTTTCTGGTGTCTTTCAGCTCATTCGTGTCTATGATACAGTGAAGGTATATGGAGATGAACATGCTACGGGCAGCTAATGAATCTGCCACCGACCAGGAGCCAAGAAACTGCTGGCTTCCAGGCTTTCGTGCTCTGGCAAGTCACCTTCACTCGTGTCCTACTTTTTTGCATCTGTACATGGAAAACATATCTATTTTCATTCAGCTTTGCAAAACAGGAGCAATGTGAACTCTGCAGAAAGGCTTTAAGTTAAAGCAAGCTGACAGCACTCTTAAAAATCATTCTTGCCAAATAATATCAGACACTAGCATCGAATTACCTTGGCTTCATTTTTATTTGTACCTTAAGTCGGACATAAAGATTAGAGAGGTAGAGGATAATGGTAAGCAATGAGAGATCACCTATATACTCTGTGAACAACTTCACTTAACAATGTCTGTTTTGTTTGTGTTTATAATCCCAGTAGGAAAACTAAAAGTACAAACATTATCTCAAATAAAATATTTATTGCTTTGTATGCTCTATTATATAGCTAAACAAGTGGTTCTCAGACAATAGATAGGTTTTGAGGTAAAGGAAATTTCAGATTATGTTACTTTAGATATGTTCAGTTACATTTTATAAACTTTAAATGTGAATGTAAAGCTTCTTTAGGAAAGTTTGTTTAAATGTTACATGAATACAGTATTAAGTTATAATTCTAATAATTAATGTTCATATTCACACAAAAAATGGAAATATATCATTAAATTTAGCAATGATAAACATTAAGGGAATGAAAAAGATCTGAGAGCCTTTACAAATTCTGATGAACCATAACATTTAATGGTTTATGCAGAGATAAATTATGTAAGAATGCTATTTTAGCAAGATAACTAACAGTGGAGATATTTCCTAAGAGGATATGAGGAAACTATTATCAATCTATTTTTAAAACTGAATTTATTTATTTTTAAAACTAAATGTATAACTCTTAATTGTTATACTAGAAATGTGGAAAGTAGTGGTTTCGAAGTTGTAATAAAAAGTATATAAGCCCTAGCTGGTGTGGCTCAGTGGATTGAGTGCTGGGCTGTGAACGGCAAGGTCACCAGTTTGATTCCCAGTCAGGGCACATCCCTGGGTTGTGGGCCAGGTCCTTAGTTGGGGGAGTGAAAGAGGCAAGCAATCAATGTTGTCCTCCCCCACTCCCTTCCTCTCTAAAAATAAAATATTTTTAAATAAAGAAGAAGAAAAACTGAAGCTTAAAAAAACAAGTATGTAAGATACACCCTTAGTAATGGAATGATGCTCACATATATTCAGAAGAAATATGAATTGGTAAACCCTTCTGAAAGAGAATTTGGTAATACAGATGTAATTTTATATGTCCTTATCCTTTGAAAAAAACAATTCGCTTTCAGAAATTCATTCAATTTGTACTTTTATAATTGTAAATCATGCAAAGATACATCTACAAAATTATGTATGGTGGAATTATTTTTAATAATGGAAAACTGGAAATATACTAACTATTCATCCTTAAGAAACTGGGTAAAAAACCTAGGGCAGGTCCATGTGATTGCTGGTAGGAGAGCCATGCAAGAGAATCTGGCACATCTGTGTATAGTAACTGGAAAAGTAGCTCAAGATATAATACTAACAAAGAGGGGAAAAAACACAAGTTGTAAGAAAGTGTGCAATGTGTTAAATGATTTTGTCCTGGTTAAAAGTAGATACATATTTCATATTTTATATATATGCATACATATGCATTTATTTAAAAATATGATTGGCTATCTAGAGAAAGTCTATGAAGAATAAATGAGATAGGTTTAACAATGGTTGCTTCCAGAGACTGGAATTTAAAAACTAAAGTAGCAAGGAAGTTTCTTTTTATGGATGTAATGATTTTGCTTTAGGAAAAATTAAATTAACAATAGAATCTCACTTATTTATGCAAACAGTTAAAAATAAAAATAAAATACATTCCTATGTTGAATTCATGCTAAATCAGGTGTTTATATTGCTTTTCTCAGAGATTTAAGAAGTATAATGGCCTTTTATAAAAATTAGGATGTAATTTAAATTTAATATTTTACTAAACCCAGAATGAAAACATATAAAGAAAATCAAAATCTAAAAGTATGTTTGAGATATATTATGTGCTTTCTCTTCCCTTAAATCACACTGTCTTAATTCCAAATGATGTCAGCAAAAGAAGGTGCTCCTGAAGCACATCTGTGAGCACGGGAAAGAGTGCATTTCCCAGTGAACGTCTGAGGACCCGGCATCTTCAGGGTTTGCTTTGCTGCCTCCTCATCCTTGCTTCCAATGTGAGAGAAAAAAGGGGTGAGCAGTAGCCAAATCAGAAGGTCTGAGTAAAAACCACTGCTCACACTGAATCTTATGCAGATCTGATGAAATATAAAGTGTGTGAACTGAAAAATTAACTCTGAAGATCAACTGAAGAAATAAAGTCTTTGATACTAATATTCAATATTGGCCAATATTAATATTAAGGTATTTGATACTAACACTCTTTAGTTAAAAAAAACACTAAGCCCCAATACTTCTGAATTCAACGCGATAATTTTTTCTTTTTTTCTAAGAAAAATGTGAGGAAGCAGAAAATTGCAGGTTACCTTAAGTGCATTCACTTCTTTCAAAGCATCATTTCTTTCACGTTGAAGCCTTTCCATTTCATCTGCTTTTAAGGAACCACGGCTGATAAGCTGTCAACGTGAAAACATAACAGAAAAATTATGCATTAGATGCTAACTATGAAAACATAAAAATCCTTTTTAACAAGGCTTAGGAGTCACTTATTGGGTAAAGGAGACTCCTTTAAAGGAGTAAAGGAGTTTGTTGAAGTAATCTAGGGGATTACTTCAGTCATTTATGCTTAATCTTACATTGTTGTCACTTGTAACAGAATTTATGTGATTATCAGGTATACATACTCTGTTGGCATCTTTATGATTCTTATGTAGCAATACAATTTTTCTTAAAAGTCCCAATCCCAAGACTGTTTATAATGTTAAAAAAGACTTCATGAGCTATCGGCATAACTATTCCCTGAAGATATATCCACTTTCCAAGTACATGGCCTCTAAAGCTAGCAAAATGCTGGGCACTATAAACCAAGACTGTTTCCATAAACCCAGTAAAGGAAATCAATTAATCATGTGTCTCATTTTAATAAACACAATGTGATATAACAGTCAAGTAAGTGGCTTAAAGAGATTCCTGCACAGAAACTGTCTTGAAGATATTAATAATTCATGCACAAGTGAATAACAACAACAAAAAATAGCAGAGCTGACAATCTCTTTTACTTTTAACATGATCCCTTTGACAGTTAATTGCAAGGTAAAAAACAACGACAATCTCATCGGAGATAAAAATCCAAGTTTAATTATAGTCATCTTCTATGTAGAAGTTATAACAACTAAAAATACAGAAAATATGATTTAAAGGATTAAGTAGGGAAAGTGACTGAAGGCAGAGTAAAAAATGATAATACAAATAATGTCAACCATTGACTGGGAAGAGACTATGTGCAGAGACCTTGCTAAGGACTAGATGTGTTCAATGTTAAACCTGTATTCTAGCATTGCTTCCATCTGCAGATGCAGAGAAGGGCTCAGAAGGGTAGCAGTTTACCTAAGGTTCCACAGCTAATAAATGATCATTCCAAGATTCTCACACAGGTCTAACATTAGTTTGTGATTTTTACTAACTACTCAACAAAAATCACGGTGAATTAATGAACTCAGATTTGCTTTCCAAATCCTAGAGGGAGGGCCATCCTTCAAATGTGAGAAGAAATATCCTTCCTAAACATTATGGGTTCCTTTTGTTCTGACACAGTTGCTTTTGTGTATCTATAAGGCCACTGTCTATAATTACATGATCTCATATTCTTCATCTGTCTCTACTCTTGTTCAGTACTCACTACGCACACTCAGAGAATCCCTTCTTATACTATTTTAGATTAGTCTCAAATAGATTAGATTTTCAAATGTTAAAATATTTCCTAAAGTGAGTCCAAAGGATATTAACTAGCTTTGTGCAAAAGCAAAGCTGGGAGGGGGTGATGTTGGTGGCAGAGGTATCTGATCGTACTACAATCCACCCCCCTTTATATATTTGTTATTCTATATAGGGACTCTGCTTTGTCCCCTCCCTAGACTCCCCACCACCAGTTTTACCCCCTCCCAAGATAACCAACACTATTATAAGATTCTTATTTCCATAACATCACTTTGATCATGGCATTGTCTAACAGACTATTAATAAAGTACAACTTTTTAGTTTAATATTTACCCTTTCAGGACCAACACTCTTCACTGACTTGCATGTACCAGATTATCTTTTTTACCAAGTAGATCATTCTCTGCTCACCATCACATAAATTTTGTTGTCGTTCATGCAGGTACCCATCACGCTCTGTTCGCCCCCTGAGCAGATATAATTCTATTTATCGTTCCAAACTCCCTGAAATGCCAAGTCTGCCACAAGTCCTCTCTGAATGTTCTAAGCTCTCCCATTATTGTGGCCTTATCACACAATACCTTTTTAAACTAAAATTATTTGTATACATCACTTTCCTTACACTATACCCTCAGTTCCTTGAGGGACAGGCTGGAGTTTTACTGACCCCTTTTCAATCAATTGCAGTTGACGTTCAACCTTGTTTTGTGTTAGTTTCATGTGCACAGTATGGTGGTTGGAGTTTCACCTACTTAACAACAAGCACCAAAGCACCGCGCACAACGCCATGCACATCACCGCTGTCTGACATCCACTTACTAGTCTACAGAGGAGTGTCCAGTCAAACAGCCAAGAAGTACTTACTGCTCCACACACTGAGAATATCGTTTATATCATGCCCCAGCCTAAGTGAAACACTGCTCACTCGTGACATGTGTGGTTCACTTTGGTGCCATTCTACTGTGCTTCCTATGTTGAAACGGTGGCTGCAATCTACTCGATTGGTTAAGCAAGAACCCAGATTGTGGAAAGTCTGCATCAGGGAATTTAGAGCGTTGTCTCTATGATTTTAGGATAGTCCATTTATGGTACTTCCCTGCGGTTGGCCCATCATGTTAAGGTGAACTAGAGCCTGCCATTCTAAGGTTAGAAGACAGTTAAATGTAGGCTCTAACTTTGCTTTTCCTCTGTGTAACCTATGCCACCAGCGAGTGTAGCAATATGTAAGTGTTATATAGCAATCATGATTAGAATCACAGTAAGAGAATTATCTTTTTGATTCTAAATGCCGTATTATTCCAAAATCAAAAGTTTTTTGTCTGCTAAACAAAAGTAGGACTGACTTAGAATGACTTAGCAAGTCTTCCTTCCTAAAAGATAGCATCTCAAGAAATCTTTTGAGTCTGACAAAATGGTAAACAAAGGAAGCTAGTTACAAGAACACGCACTGGATAATTCTATTTATTATGAAGTTCAAGAACAGGCGAAAGTAGTCTATGCTGATAAAAATCAGAACAGTGGTTCCCTGGAAAGGTGGGGAGACACAGCCGACTAGAAAGTTGACTCGAAGGAGCCTTCTGAGTGGCGGTTTCACAAGAGACACATATAGAAACTCCTCAAGTTGTACATTTGAGACTTTGCACTTTACTGTGTGTCCACTATGCATCGGTAACAGTATTTTTAAAAAATAAATTAAGAAAAAGATAAGCCACCCCCCAAAGAAACATGAGGAAACGAAGGAAGGAAGGAAGGAAGGAAGGAAAGAAAGAAAACAAGAAAGGAGGGAAGGAAGGGAGAGAGAAAGAGAGAGAGAAAGAAAGAAAAAGGAAAGAAAGAAAAAAAAGAAAGAAAGAAATGAAAAGAAAATAGAAAAGAAAAGAGAAAAGAAAAGCAAGCCCGCCCGCCCCAACACACGGATTATTGAGTCTGACTGTTGTTTGTGCCGGGAGGCCGGGGGGTAACCGGAGTGGAATTTCCCCACCTGCACAGACTATCAACATCCTCAACCACAGATCAATTGATAAACTTCAGATGAGGCATTAGGTCGTTTTTAACTCAAAAAACAACTGGGAATTTATACTACAAAGAACAAAATAGTTCTTGCTTCTGGTGAGCTGCTTGACAAACAGTGATTTTTATAGAATTTTCCAAATTGTGGCCCATGACCCTTTAGTGACTTATTAGACCAAATACTTCATGAAAAAGAAATAGTAGTGAGTATTAAGTAAGAATGCCATGATGTAGAAAAGGTAAGTAATGCTTTGAGACTTCAGTTTCAATTCTACATTTGAGTGTGGGGAAGAAAAATGTATTCTTACTGTGGATGCCTGTGGGAAAAATAAAGGAGAGCCAACATTTTATGGGGATATCATCTATGGGCTGAAAAGCATAATACAAAGAAGGAAATTTCTAAACTCGCACAGCGTCCAGTATTCCGACCCGCGTGACACACAGTGTGCCCTGGCACGCAGAAGCCCTGGCACGAGCACCGGCAGCACTTGGCTTTTGCTGCCGAACTACCACAGGCTGAATGTGTTCTTATCGGTCCTAAAATCACATTGGTAAGGACACAGATTACTAATTTGGAGCGTGAGCATTTCTTTGCTGCTGCTAAGCAAGCTTTGCGTGCTCACACAAAGTGCTCTGAGCTCCCCCCTCACATATGTTCTGAGCCACACAGCTGTCTTAGCCTCTCCTCAGCACACGTGGGCACGGGAGCTCTGAGAACGGTTGGCAATAAGAAAACGATGCTCCGCTGCCAATGCCAAGTAGACAAGCACACACCATCCACATCAGTGGGAGACACACTGTGCTCTTACACCTTCGGTTTTCCCACCCTCCATGCTACAGAATCAGTTCTGATCAATCGGTGGCTCAGTTCTGGGGGGTCTGGGTGACCTGAGGTTCCAGACAACCAGGTCCTTGGGAACTTGCGTTCACTGCCGGTGGGAGGGTGATACTGTACAGCTGCTTTGGGAGACAGCTACAAAAACCAGTGAAAAGTGACAAAAACCCTCACACTGTCACCTAACATTCATGATGTATGATTTAAGTACAGCCAAGACCATTCTTCAGGGCCCACTCTACCTGTGAGTCTAGAAGGTTGGAAATTTCAGGTGCACCAACGTTGACTTCATCCAATTGCAAGTGAAACAGCTTTCTGGTGACCTGGACAAAATCTACAATGGAGCACACATTTCGGTAAGAACATATTTAACTTCATCTAAATAAATCTTACCTTTTTCTATATGAAGTTGAAGCTATGTGTTATAATGAAAGCTTAGAATTCAACTTACTCAGATAAGTTGACTTAAAATAGTATTAACTGAAATGACAGATAAATATAAGTTCAAATAAGAAGAGATACACTGGTTTTAATTTCATCTAACTTTGCTGAGGTGAATAGTTAAGGTGACAATAAAGCAAATATATATCACAGGCATAACTATTCCTCCAACTTGTAACTTATGAGTAGAACTTTTTCTGTAACATGTGATGATATTAAGACTTACAGTTTTTCTAGCTGAAAGAACCCAAGATTTAGTAATAATGACAGTAGCAGCTAAAGTTTCTGTAAGGCCTCTGTACGGGAGGCACAGTGCTTTGCAAGCTCATCCTCAGAATTGTATGAGGCAGGTCCTCTTATCGTCTCCACTTTGCAGTTTGGGGCTAAGACCAGGAAACTGTCCACACCACTCAAGGCCACGTGGCAAGTAAGTAGCGGAACAGGATTCCACTTAAGGTCTGATCAGAGACACACACTCTCGACTGCTAATACCACCACCTCCGGGCAGTCAGAGCAAAGGATAAGCTTCTTCAGACACGGAGCGTGACCTAGTCACCCGTCTGCCCCCACATGTTTTTGTTTTGACTACTCTATTTTTGATTTCCAAGGATTCTTTTAATGATCTCTGATTGTCCCTATTTTATGGTATGCTACTCGTATTTCATGGATGCCTTATCTTTGCTTATCTTATTAAAGGTGTTATTTATGGTTTATCATGAAGTTCTCTTCTGCTTTCACAATATTTCCCTTTTTTGAGTTCCTTCTATTCTATTTGCCTGACAGTTTAGGGCTCTTTGTATGTTATGTTGAAGGATGTCTCCAAACATCTAATGACTCTTGGCTGTGGGTTCATACTTAAGAAGGGTTAGGCACTACAGTGTTGATTGAAAATTTTGTGTGGATAACTTCCCTCGTCAAGTGGCATTTCCACTACAGAGCAATTGGGTGGCCAAGTTGATGTTTTTGGTCAGCTTCTCCTGAGACCCCCACGACCTCTTGCCCATAGAATGTAAACATGGCTGCCCATTTCTCTGAGCGATTGGGGTGTGTGTTGACTTACCACACTCAGTGGTAAGTCACCATACACTCTCCCCAAATATCTGAGCTGCAACTATAGGTCCAAACCTCTCTGGTTTAACTTCTCAGGAACATACTTATTTTCCTCTGCAGGTATAAAGGAGTGGTAGTTGCTGGATTGCTTGAGAGGGGGCACAGAACAGCATATATAATTGCTCCCTATACAAACTTCCAACTCTTGGTTTTAAACGTCCTGCCTGCACCCAGCTTTCAGGAGTACCTGATGCTCTCAGTCCTTTTCAGGGACAAACCAGCTGCTCCCCATTGTGATTCCCTTATCTCTTCAGGCTTTACCTGCCTCTGCTCACTAATTCACTTATTTTCTGTTCTTATATATTGTTTTTAGTACACATGCAATTCTGTTTCTTGGGTCTTGTTATTTTGAGGTGACTTTCAAGAGGAAAGGGGAGCAAACATATCTTTTGTTTCATAACTTCAAAACCAAGAGACGAATTTCTTTTTTTAGCAACAGAGATGCTTTTTAAAATTATACAATGTTACATCTACTCCATAAGAAAAAAATTAAATATGTAAGGCTGTCAAGGATACAAAAATTATTATATTCCAATATTACTAGTGGCAGAACAAATAATGTAAAAAAAATCTCTGGAAAACAACTTATCAATACATAGCAAAAGTCTAAACCACTTTTGGGAATTCATCTTAAGAAAAAAGAAAAATAAATGCTATGATGTTAAATATAGAGTTATTTATAACTATATTTCTCAGTATCAGCTACTGAGAAACCATCAAAATTCCCCAAAATGAAACAGCTTAATATTAGTGTATGAACATTATGCTACCTTTAATAGGAATAATTATACAGCATCATAAAAATATTTACCATATCACGTTAGCTAAAAAAAAAAACACATTAAAATTTCACCATAATTAAATTAGCACTTCTATATTTTGTACTCTTGTGTTGCTACTAAAACACTGCTCATGTAATAAGTAAAAAATAAGAAATATGATAGAATTACAGTATTTCAGAGACAAAAGATTCTGAGAAAGTTCTCCTTTCTGCTGACCTACTGTAATTCTAGCTGCATTTTTAGAGTACTCATTGAGGAGTCAGAAATAGATGTGGTCTTGTTTGTTTTCTCACTCCTTCTAGGAAGAGGAACTTTTCATGAAAATGAGTCACAATAACTCTCCAAACAAGTTTCTGCGATGACATAACACATGTGCCTAGTGTTACCTCCGAAAGACACTGTCCCCTTTGGGTCTGCTTGCACTTGCTGTCTCAGGGCTTGGTGCTGTTCCTCTGTGGGCTGGATACCAAGGTAATTTAGGGCCTGGAAGGAAAACGACTCACGTAAAGCAATTTTCCAAATTCCAAAAGAATAAAACTTTTCACTAGAACTCCATTTTACAACCCCAGTGAAAAGAATCAATATCAGGAACAGTGGTCAGAATTAGATGCCCAAAGAAAATCTGCTATGTATGGATTGATTTTTAATAAAATATTAGCTTTCTCATTCCACCACCACCTCAGTTTTTTTCTTCCCAAGGCTAGCGCTCCAGCAGATTATAAATTTATAAGCATGGCCCTAGAACCAAAACTCAAACTATTTCCTGGTTTAAAATATGTGAAATAGCAAAAGAAAAAGAGCAAAAGAAAATCCTATTAAATCCAATTTAACATTAAGTTCTATAAGTGACACGTATAGTAGCGTGTATATCTTGTTAATATCTTGTACTTGAGATGAAAAATAGAGTCAATGGAAAGTGAATTAAATACAAAGTATCCTAATTTTTGGCTTGTTTATGAGCAGGCTTACATAAATAGTAAGCTAAATGCTTTCTCTGGAAATCTTCTCTCTACCTTCTCCTATTAGCAACCATTGCCGATTAAAAAAAAAAAATTTGGAGACTGCTCATTGCATTCCAGTGTCCATTCTCTCCTTGTTCTTCTGTAACAGAACCACAATATTTAGCTAGAAACACTGTCATCCAGCTAAAAGATATGCCCCAGCCCCTGTGTAGCCTGGTGAGGGCATGTGACTAAGTGCTGGCCAAGGGGATACAAGGCCAAGTGCTGCAAGGAACTTCAGGGAAGTCTTTCAAAAGTAGCCGTTGGCACTTGTCTTTTTTCCATCTCTCTTTGGGCTTTGTTAAAAGAAAACAAAAAGGAAGATGAATGGAAGGAAGGGAGGGAGAGAAAAGAAAAGAGAGGGTGAGAGGGAAGCTGGTTGCTGGAATTCAAGTAGCCATCCTGATTCCTGAGCGCCCTCAGTAAAGATGGCGGAGCAGAAAGATGGTTGGAACATGGGACTCCGTCTCCATGCCAGCCCTGGATTACCTGCCTTACTTAGGGTTTCTTTTTGGTGTGAGAGAAATAAATTTCTAATGGAAACCACTGTTATTTTAGATTCTACATATATACATATATATATCAAAACCTAATCTTAACTAATGCATAGGGCCTGTTTGGATGCCCTGTATTATTGAATTCTCACAAGAACATATTCTGTGTCAATCATATCAAAACTAAAACACAAAGTTTAATATTGGTAAGTGTCCTTTATACATTTCTTCTTCCTTCGGAATCTGCTCAGTTATTCATCATTTCATTTATCAAATGTTTATTTAGTGCTTACTATTTGTCAGGCAAAGGGACAACCAAACAAGATACGGCTACTACTATGGTCTTTAGATGGAGGGTAACATGTAAATAAATGTAATCAGTGCAATAAGTGGTTTAATGGAAGTGTGCACAGGATACACTGTGGCCAAAACAAACTGGTTGATGTATAGGTGGCGGGGCACAGCGAGAGAAGGAAGGAGGAGGAAGGGAGAACCTCGGGAGAGATTCCTTCAAAAGCGACTCTGGAGCTTCGTCTAGTACCATTCACCTATCCTGTCCACACCAGAGTCAGAAACACAGTATTTGCCCTGAATGACACAGAACAATGGTTCTTAACTTTTGCTGTTCTTTGCCTTTAGTCATAAAAATGTTCCAGATTTTCCAAAAAAATAAAAGTAAAGAGAATGATACGAAGAATACCCATGTACTCACTATCATCAAATAATCATATTTGTTTGAAATTTATATATTTTAAAGAAATGAATATTAATGACTTAGTTGACTGCTCGCTCCATTGTTCCTCAACAGGAACCGCTCGCTACCCTAAGGTTGGTGCATCCTTCCCGTCCCTGATGTGATGTCAGTACTACAGGTAATACCCATAATAATACGTACTCTTGTGCAATTAAAGTCTTCCACAAATAGCACAGTACAAGAGGATAACCTTACAAATTATTTTTATCTCAATGTTCTGATTTCACAATGGCTCAATATAATCTGTAAAACCAGTTCAATTATTTTAACTTGAAATCGTATTCGACTGTCTGAATATATAATTTATTATCCATTCCTTGATTGATGGGCTTTTATAATTACTCCAATATGGTTTTCATCAAGATATTATGTACATCTCCTTGTAGAGATGTGTGAGAATTTCTCTACAGTGCATCCTTAGAAGAGGAAATGAGGGATCATAGGGCTAACAAAGTCCATTTTATTGGACACTGTAAAATAACTCTCCAAATCCGTGGTACCAAGCAATTTATGCACACTACCAGTATAAAAGCACTCCTGTTTTCTAATCTTAGTAGCATTTGGGGTTTTTGCACTTTAATTTTTGTCAATGCGTTGCATAGGAAAAAGCACATTGCGTGTTCATTGGAATTCCCCTAACTACAAGTGAGATTGAACTCCTTTTCCATGCGGATTAGCAATATGTTTGACTTATAAATTGTTGCGATTTGTTTTACATTCTCACACGCAGTTGTAAGACGTCGTTTTTGTTGGTGACTCCTAAAACCCACAGGCTCTCCCAGCGCTGCCAAAGGCCCCTGAAGCAGCGGCCCACAGCCCCGCCCTGGAGGGCCGCTGTTCCCAGAGCACACACTCTCAGTGGTTGGGGCACGACTTTTCTGACTTTCTACGAGGGTGGCATTTTGTATATATAAAATATATATAAAATGTGCATACATGTATTAAATGCATTAAATAGATATAATACATATGAAATAAATGCATATATATTTAAATAAATGCATATATATTTAAAAATAAATGCATATATATTTAAAATATATATGCATTTTATATTTTTTACAAAAATTAAATTGTACTATATACAGTGTTCTATGTTTTTAAAAACTATCAATATATCACAGCTTTCTATTCTGTACATTTTAGATCTGTGGCATGCTTTTTAAAATGGTTCTAATAGTATATTACAGCTTAGCATTTCATTACGTTCATACTAAATTTTGAATTTAACAAAACATTGCAAAAGGCCCTTCTGAATTTCCCCCCAGAGGTAACGACAGTCGTACATTTGATTTAACACTCCCAAACATTTTATTGTAGTATTTGATGTGTACTAAAAACACACACTGTATGGAACAAGCCTATATATTTTAAAGCAGGACAATACAATGAAACATCCGTGAATCCATTTGAGAATCACAAAACTGCCAATACTAAACTTTCAACACTATTCATCACATACATATATGTACACCTCTAACCTATTACTTTGTTTTGCTGTCTATTAGCTTCATGAAAATGCTGCAGATCATCTTCAGAAACTCGCTTTTTCCATCTTGCAATACGGTTTCATCATCCACTCATGTGGTTATATGCTACTGTAACGGTAATGAATTCGCTTGGACAAATATACTGTTTAAGTAGGTTAACAGGCCACAGTGTATTCATCCCTGCTCCTGTAGATGGGCACTGGGTTTCCCGCTTCCCGGCACTGCAGCAATTAACATTCCTGTGCCTATCTACTCCAGCACAGGGGTAAAAATTCCTTCAGGGTGGATACCTGGGAGTAGCATTGGTGGGTCTTTTTCCTGATCGATTTGTAGACTTGTTCATGTATTTAGATTTTATTGTTATGTGTATTACAAATGTTTCTCCCCATTGGTGGCATAATTTTTCACTTTTTAATATTCTCTTCTTACATAGTTTCTTTTTAAACATTTTTTATAGTTTATTTCACATCTCATATTTTGTAAACTTTTTTATTGATTGACTTTTAGAGAGAGGGAGGAAGGGGGAAAGAGCGAGAGGAGGAGGGAGAGAGAAGCATCAGTTTGCTGCTCCACTTATTTAGCCATTCTTCAGTTGATCATTGTATGTGCCCTGTCCTGGGATCGAACCCGCAACCTTTGCATAGTGGGATGATGTTCCAACCAACTGAGCTACCTGGCCAGAGTATGGGGTTTCTTATGGACAATTCCCATGCATGTTTTTATATTATTTCATATTTTTATAAATATATATAATGAATGGAATTGAAAATATTTTAAGTTTTGATTTTTGTATAAATGGTACAATAGTGTACATATCAATATATGACTTTATTTAATGAACAGATGTACCGATGTATAATTCAGATCTCATAAAATTCACCATTTTTGTACATATCTAAATGACTTTTAATATATTCACAGTCATGCATCAATCACCACTAACTCTAGAAAATTTTTATCACCTCCCGAAAGAAACCCCATACTTATGAGCAGGCACCGCCTATTTCCCTGTGCCCCCAGCACCAGGCAAACACTGATCTATTTTCTGTATGTACACATTTGCCTATCGTGGGCATTCATACAAATAGAATCATACGCTTTGTGTGTGTGTGTGTGTGTGTCTAGCTTCTTTCACTTAGCTTAATGTTTCAAGGTTTATCTATGTTGTAGCATGTACAGAATTTCATTTTATGGCCCCAAAATAATTCACTGCATATATAATATATACACATATATTGCATTTTAGTTATCCTTTTTTTAAGTTATAAAAGAGGAATCAAGAATAAAAGAAACAAGATATTATTAAAAAGTACTAGGTAGATGATAACAAATTAGAAACTCAGTGGCTATGTGGAATAGATGACTACAAAGAAAGAGAACCAGAGAAATAATGTCTCACTAAAGCTAAAATACATGGCAGTAAGCATACAAATTGGAAAGGGGCTAATTCCAGTTAAAGTATTGTAAGTGTCTGATATGTTTAAAAGAAAGATAAAGATTCTGAATAACTTTATACTGATTAAGTTAAACATGCATGTTAAAAATGTATGTTAATCACTGAAAGAATAACAAGAGAAGGCATAACTTTTGAACAAGTTGGAGAAGAAAAATAAAATGCAAAGTAACCAAATAATTAAACATAAACCAAACAATATAATACAGAGGGGTTAAAAACTAATAAAAAACAAAGAAAAATTTAACAATATGATAAAAATAAACCAAAATGCATTATAATTAGACTAAATGTAAACCATGTGGAACAAGGGGAACTCTTAGATAACAGCAGTGGGAATGAAAACTGATAAAACTACTGCAGAAAACAATTTACCAAAATTGTTTTCTGCAGTAGTTTTATCAGTTTTCTTACCAATCCGACAATTATTCTGAGCACAGACTATGAGCCAACAACCATTTTTCTAAGAACTGGAGGAACAGAAGCAAAAATTTGGCAATACCTCAAGTAAAGCTGGAGGTAAACTCCCAGACTTCATAACATTTTAGTAATTAATTTTTTTAAGCATATAAATGGTAAACTCAAAGTTTAGAATATAGTTACCTCCTGGGGGAGAAGAAAGGAATATATGATCAAGAAGAGACATGGGCAATTTCAAAAGTTCTCCTTTTTAGTTCTCCAAAGGTGGTGGGTAACCTATGTTTATTAGCCTTTAAACTGTACATGTTAATATAACCATTTCTGTACATAACTGATATTTTCATGAAACGATATAAAAACAACTTTATAAAATTAATGCAAGTAAAACACCTATTACAGAAGGTACTCAATATATGATTCTTATTATATTAAGTAATGATAAAGTTGCAAAATTCAATGAACTACAATGTAAATTGATCTAGAACTAAACTTTACAATAGGTGAAAGTTCTGTTGAATGTAAAATATTCAAGATACAGCAGTACATAAGGTCAGTGAGAAAAGCTCATAAATTTAAATTGGAAGTAATTTATTTTTTATCAAAAAGTAGGTTCTAATAATTTATTGAATAATGTCATGTTTTAGACTTAAAAATGCAAATGTATTAATTGGACAATAATTGTCCTTCACATTTTCTGGTGTCCAAATGATGACTTTAAAAAATGTCACTGCTGTGCAGTATTAGTCACACACTTCCCAACCTAATAACAAAGAACATCTCATTAACTATATCAGACTTCGGACATGCATTGCTCACTACAGCTTTTTTCAAATGTTACAGAAATGGCAAGAGGTAAAGTAAATACCAGCAAAATGGCATCTGTGTCCCAGAGCATCTTTCCCAGGTACAAAGATATAGATGTTGACAGTACAGAAGTGTCTTCAAACCAACTAATAAACTGTATCTCTACTTGCTCTCTACCATTCCTACTTCAAAGTTTAATGTTAAGATCAAGCGAGACACAAAAATACTCTGTGTCAAGTACTTTGGATCAAGCACTTACAAAAATACTTTGAAAAATATATTGCTAAGTAGCTATGGTGAAATTATTTGAAAATATCAGTATATAAAAATAATTCTCAGTGTATTCATGGAAAGAGGTGATCTCTTTCACACAATAAATTTAAAAATAACTAGTTCAGTGTTAGAAATCACTTGCCCGGAGATTCTGATACAAAATATTCTACGTAGAAAAAACAGAAAGGATTTCACGCAGACAATGCTACTCATACACACGCTGTAGTGGGTATTATCCTTCACCAAATTCTAACCCCTCCACCCTTCTTAAAATCGGTGCTGAGCAGGGTAATTAGTTAATAACCACATAATCAGTCAACACCTTTTCCTTGTGAAATCTTATGACAGCACCAGTTTTCTAGATTCTATATGCAATATATTATAGAACATAAAGAAATAGAGATATAACTTCATTACATTTTAAATACTCGATCACACTGTCCTTACCTATGAATGAATAGAAAATATATAGAAAGTGCAATGGGTGATAAAGTTGAATTTGTCTACAAAGTAGCAACTATAATAGAAGGACTTATTTCAAATTAAAGTGATACAGATATTGTTATAATAATAATTTGCTTTCTGAAAAGGAAAGGCAATATCTGATACAGGTAACATCTGATACAGATATTATTATAATAATTATTGACTTTCTGCTCTTTCTGAAAGAGCAGCTCAGGAGATATTTAGGTGGATAGACAGTAATTTGGATTTTAGGGAAAAAAGTATTCAGTGAAATGGTTTCAGACTCTGAAAACAAGGAATGCTCTACTAAGTACAGTCACTAAAAATATTTTGAATAACAGCCAGGAAACTGAATCTACACAGAATGTTTCAAGGTTTACCTGATATATGTTGTAACATATATCAGAACTTCGTTCATTTTATGGCCCAATAATTCTTTTTGTATCTGTATATCTATCTATCTATCTATCTATCTATCTACACACAGACACATACACATACAAACATACACATACATGCCTACTGCACTTTGGCTATCCTTTAAGTTATAAAAGATGAATCAAAAATAAAAGGAACAAGATATTATTAAAGTACTAGGTAGATAATAACAAATTAGAAACGAAGCGGCTATGTGAAATAGCAGATGGCTACAAAGAAAGAGAACCAGAGAAACAATGTGTCACCAAAGCTAAAATACTGGGCAATAATAAGCATACAAACTGGGAAGGGGCTAATTCCAGTTAAAGTATTGTAAGTGTCTGATATGTTTAAAAGAAAGATAAAGATTCTGAATAACTTTATACTGATTAAATTAAACATGCATGTTAAAAATGTATGGTAGACACTCAAAGAATAGCAAGAGAAGGTATAATTTCTAAAGGAGTTGGAGAATAAAAATAAAACACAAAGTACCCAAATAATTACTTCTTTTGCTGTAAAACTGCTATTTTATTTTTCTACAAAAGTAATTAGTTTGCTTAGGCTAAAAGGAAAACCACAACTGGAATTCTGATTCAGTAATCAAGTAACATACCTCTCAGAATCAATACAAATTTAGATGCTTTTCATAGCACTAAGAAAATTACAAATAAAAGACTTATATATCATGCACTAGAAAATTTAAACCAAGCAAAACAATAAGTAAAGGCTGCCAGACAGTCTTTAGCTGAATAATTTTCTGCTTATCCAGATGAACGGTTAGCAATCTTGAATGTCCAGAAATGGATATTAAACCAACATCATTAAAAAACAATAATTATTCACTTTCAGATATGGATAAGTACGTTTTTAAACCTCAAATATTTCATTTTTAGAAAATATTAACATTAACTAATTATAAACTTTGCCATGAGCCAGAACTTACATTTTAACCAAAAATAAAAAAGAGAGTACAAGTCAGCAAAAGACAGTCAGGATTTTGAAAATATCAAAAAGACATTTCAAGTATCTAATTAATCACCAAGTTTCACTCTGTGTTTAAACAATGGTAGGTACACTAGGCACTCTTTCGAAGAAGCTTTATCTAGTTGATAGAACAAGATACAGAAAAGATTATAGGCAACTATGAAGTGATTTATAGTAGTGCAGAATAGGGCAGTATTGGCCCTAACTAATAATAATTAGCAAGGTCTGGACAAGGGAGTTGGAACTGAGTCAGAATCTGAATAATGGGTAAGATTCAAATTGGCAATGAAAAGTGTTCCCTTATAGGACCATGCAAAAGTATGAATATGGAAATAAACACAATATGTTTATTCTAACTATGCATTTTCATACTCTTCCTAACATGTAAAACATTATTATCCATGAAATTTTCCAGGAATGTAGAGGCTGTGGACCTTGAACATGATATCCACGTTTATAGCACATTCTTGCTGTCAGCTTCCAAATAACCTGACAAGAGCAAGTTTTAAAATGCTTTCCTACTTTTTTTATCTCTTTAGTCATCTTAAGTTTCTTTTACATACAGAAGCTCTCAGTGTTTTACTCTCCCCAGGACAATAATTTTGTGCCTAAGTACACTGCTACCATCTTCTTCTTAGTGAGCATCTGACTACTTCATTCTTTAGAGTGTAGTTTCCCTTAACTTTTTAAAAAATTGGACAAATGGAGTATTACTTGCACTCACTGCTATTGTATACGAAGCCTACTACACCTTGTCCTAATTTATCCCATGTTCCCTTTGACGCTACCTTTTAATACCCCCCATCTGTCTTATTTACACACAGGAGGAGACAGATTCATTTACATGTCAATTCAGTGAACAACATGAACTGCCCGACTCAAACATGAATGAATCAATTTGAATCTAAGCTGCCATTCAATTCACTGCAAATATATAACTCCTTGAGATACTCATGGCTCCGGCCCTTTACCCTCTCCAAGAACAAGACTCCTTCCTTGCTTTACATTATGGAAGAAGAATGGAAATTTAACGTAGTTACCATTTCCAGTTTCTCTGCCTTAAGGCGGACGGAGGGATTTAGGGAAATCTTCTTCCCATGGGGTCCATGATGACCAGTCTGGGCGGGAGCAGTATCTACGAGACAACAGGGTACACATTCATTGGAGATTTAATTGGAATAGAAATTTTCATTTGACCGGATGCGCTCTGGGGTCCTGCTGTTCAAAACTCTTTCTGGTTAATCAGCTAGCAGTTTTCACTTTTCTTTTCATGGCTTTTTCGTGAAATTTTAAATGCATCATATGAACCAACCTCACTTGAGCCCTAACAGGTACATAAAAAGCATGGCCAATTAGGTGTTAAATACCACATAAATATTCATGTAAAAGACAAACATACACCCTACCGCCATTATCCTGTCATCATAATTCCTTACTAATTGTACAATGGAAAGTCTTTTTAAAAAGGAAGTAAAATCATACAAGGAATTTAAAAGTTTCATGATATTTCTTTGGCTGGCAAAAGTAGTTTTGTTACATGAATTCTGGAAATACCATAGAAAAACTTGAAAATGCAAATTGTTTCAAGTTTACACATAAACTATAATAATAGACTTGCAATTTCTTGAACTAAAAAAATCCTATTTCTTATTTTACAGAAGGGTTATATTTCAAGTAGTATAAATGGGCTTTCGAGAGCACCTTCTCAATCTGCCGATTATTTAGATAAGCCTTTGTCCCTGCTGCATGAGTAAGACACCAGGTGCCATCGGGACTAGAACTTGAAAAACATAATTTGTTTTAATATGCCAAAGTTGTAAAACACATTCCTATCATTCATGTCAATCCTTACAGCGAAATTGTCACTATTCTAAATACACTTTTAAATGATATTTTACTAGTTCTGCATAGAAACAAGAGGAAGAGAAACTTTTTAAAATGTCACATCTTTATGCAGTTTTAATTTTTTAAAATTTCTCAGAGCATCTGTCTCTAAGTACAAAATGATTTGCATTCTCTTAAGAACATAAGAAGCGCATATGAAAATAAATAGTCTTCCTCTAAACCTTTAACACATCGCTAACATTCTATGTAAGATCTTGAACATAGCTTCTATGTGTCAAGATTAAAAAAATGGCTACTGACTTTTAGATTCAAATGGAGTCAAACATTAAGACAGACTGATTTCGGTATAAAAAAATTTTTACAATTCTGATAAAAGCAACAAAGTTCCCTTTGTTAATGTGATACCTAATTGTTGACCATAGCATTAAAAATACTGCATGTACTTTGTTTTCTCTTAATGTAACTGCAGAACCAGCTTCCCGTTCTCCTTGCTTGGTGCCCTGCCAATAAAATGGCTCTAATTTCTCCATTGCAAACCTTGACGGTCAGTGTTTGGCTTCACTGTGGACGAAACTTGTCCGATTCAGTTCAGTTCGGTTACATTAAGAGAACTCCTCTGCCAAACCTAATGTGCGGCACAAAAGAGGAGCATGGAGTGGTGTGGTATGAAAGACCAAGTGGCAGAGAAGTCAGACCTCATTTCGCATTTTCAAGGTTTAGACTTGCGAGGCTTGACAATGACCCAGCCTAGTGCGTGACCCACCTACTGTGAAGGCACACTACCACTAGGTAGACCCAAGCTGAGCTAATTATGGTGTCAGACCAAGACAAACCCTGGGTGTGAATACTCAGTTCAAGTTCAAGTACACACTTGGAGCGGGGTTGAGAGCGAGAGAGAGCACAGGGACACACACACCATCCACACACACTTAGGCATGAGTCCTCACTTATGTTTTCCTATAGCTAAGCTTAAACCGTTTCTGTGTAACAGTAGCAATGACACAAGATTAGCTCTTTGTTACACTTACTTTCAGCCAGGCAGTACATTAAGTACTTTAAATCAAGTACTCATTAATCTTTAAAATAATCACAATGACCATTGTGGTTACCATTCCCATTCTAAAGAAGAAGAGACCAATTAAGGTCCAAAAAGTAAGGAAACAAACTCAAGATCACATAGCTAGTAGGTGACCACGTTAGGGTTCTCCTTTCTACTGACTCCCCAAGCCAATGTTCTCAAATGTGTCAATATCCTTCATTGTCAGTGTTCTCTTCTGTATGGTAGGAAGAATCAAACAGACCCATTCACAGGAATTGTAAAGGTAAAATCAAAACCACAGAAAACTACTATGGATATTAACACAGAGACACTGTATTTAAATAGGAGACTTAATGTAAAATTATACTGACCCTCTATATAATAACATGCATCATGGCTTAACACAACCTCACTTTGTTTTTGCCAACCTTCCTCTACCCATTTACTTTTGAGGCAAAACCCGAGGCGGATCTGCACAGAGTCCAGCGTGCTTTGGGAATTCACAGCCCGACTTGAAAAGCCCCTGTGGACAGCTTTCCTCATTTGCCTGCGCCAGGTCTCAATTTCAGCCGCAAACCATTTGCTGTTCTCTGAGGGAGTGAGACTTTTCAAAGGATTGCTGATTATTCTCTTAGATCTCTTCTTCCTATTTCTCTTTTCAGGAGCAGAAGAAAGGGAATGTTTTATATGGCTAGGATCAATAGCATTTGGTTAACACTATGAACACACCCCCCAGAGTTTTCTTCCCTATCATTACTTTGTTTCAATTACAAAAAGCCTTAGAGTAGGAGAATTAAGGCTTGTTATGTTAAAGTTAAAGTCATAATAGTATTTTTCTTTTTTTTTTTTACTTGCAATTTTGTTGTTTGTTTTTAATCTAATTTATTGGGATGACACTGGCTAATACAATTATATAGGTTCCAGAGGTATAATTCTATAACATATCATCTGTATGTTGTATTTGTGTTCACCACCTAAAGTCAAGTTTCCTTCCATCGCTATTTATCTCTATTTTACCCCCTCCTACCTCCCCCACCCCTGTTTCTCTCTGGCAATCCCCATACTGTTGTGTACGAGGGTTGTTTGTTTGTTTTTTTACTTAGTCTGTTTCTATTTTGTTAGTTTATTTTGCTCATTAGATTCTATATATAAGTGAAATCACGTGGTATTCCTCTTTCTCTGACTGGTTTATTTCACTTAGCATAAAATACTCCACGTCTATCCATGCTGTGACAAAAAGTAAGACTCCCTTCCTTTTCATGGCTGTGTAGTATTCCAGTGTGTAAGTAAATGTACCACAGCCTTTTTATCCAGTCTACTGATTGATGGGCACCTGGGCTGCTTCCAAATCTTGGCTACTGTAAATAACACTGCAGTGAACACAGAGGATGGATAGTATCTCTCTCTGCAATGATTCTTTACTACTTTCCTTAGTAATGTCTTTAGTATACTTTTAACTCACAAGGTCACGTGTTATTTAGCTGATGGCAACAGTGAATGACTCTGGATTCCGAAATGAAAAGTTTATATAATAAAACAGTTTTAAAAACAAATTCAAGTATTATGTGGACTCAAAGAATCCTAACCAGTTTTATACTTTGGAATGGCTTTGAGATGGGAACTGGGATAGACTTGCCTCATTAAGTTTAATTTTGTTGAGGTTAACATTAAAACTCATTGACATTTTTTGAATAAATACCAACTGGCTGAATGAGGCAAGGTGTCATGGTTAAGGATCTAATTTGTGAACAATCTATAATTAAGCACTGACAACAGACACATCACAATGCATGTAAGTTACCTACAGATAATTTAGGGTTGACTTTGCTTTGTTCCCCTGGAAACATCTGGCCTACTATCCATGTGGAAGTAAGACAGTGGGACTCAGTCGGTGCTCCTTCTGCCCCAGGAAAATGTTCTATTTTAATGGCATTTTAATACTTCATATACAGCTCAGTCACTCAAATATACTTTCCACTGAATTATTTTTCCATCACAAAACCTAGTGCTGTTCCTTGTAGTCACTGATGTAAACTTGTTTTCCATTATTACTCCAGGATCCCTCTGCTCAATTCAGATCTGCTTCACAGGCTCACCTGACCTCCATCTCGCCCTTGGGTCCTTGCTTTTGCTCACGGTGCTTCCTTTACTCAGGATGACTCCCTACCTCCATCTGTCAACTGAGGTTTACCACCTCCCTCAACATCTGAATTTTATGTGACTTTTGCCAAAAAATTCCGTCTACTGTGACAAATTCCCTAGTTTTAGGGCTAGAAGGGAATAGCAAAACTGACATAAAGGATAAAAACTTCCACTCCTGCTCTAAAAACAGGCCCTGGGATATTACCTGAGCTACATTCTAGTCTGCAGATTCTGTAGTATTAATAATAACAGCAAAATTTGCTGGGCTTGTACTGTGTACCAATTACAATGCTAAATGGTTGACAGGTATGATCTTGTTTAATACTCATAACAACCCCATGAGGCAATGATTTCAAGGTTACATAGCTAGTAAGTCGGGAGCAAAGATTTGAACCTCTAAGTGAGACAGGGTAAGGTAACACTGGATTCCACCTGGACCTGTGAGAGGCCTGACCATGCCTCCTTGCCTTCCATAATATTCTGTAGTTGAAATTAACCTAACCGCATCCTTAAAAGAATGTATGATAACATCCTTTCTTATCCTCACATTCTGCAAAATAGCTGTTTTGTCCATTAAACTATAACTCGAATAGTTGTGTGAGAATTATTTTACAGGCCCTCTGAGTGGTCCACTGACCATGGAAAACATCTTGTGACGACCCTGGACCACCCGCCACTAGACGATGGTCACGTGCAGCTGGACCCACCCTCCTCCCCAAGCCCTGCACCCACGCCAAGTGCCCGGCATAAGCCGTCCACAAGAACCCTCCAGGGAGCTCAGCTACTGGTTTCCGGTCAGCTCCCTTGTGCACAAGCTCTATTTAATAAACTCTATCTGCTTGATGTTGTACTGAGTTCAGCACTCCGTTCTGTGACATTGAGACTCAAGCACCTGGCATTCGAAGCCTGGTAACACGCTTGCATCCAGAGCCTGGTGATTAACCCCGGTGCCCGTCCTGCGTCACTCAGGCCACTGATGATTACTTTCTTTCCTTAGGCCGCTTTGTTCGTGGCTTTACGCTATTTGCTCAAGTGTGTGATTCATCCGAAAGAGAGTTCAGTATGCTCCTTGGAGTCCTAAAACCGCCCGAACCCTCTCTAACACAGAACACTGCAAACAGTAGTTATTCGATACGATAAGCACACACACACATTTATTTCTCTAACCTGAATAATGAAGGCTTATAATCCCATGTTTTGTTTCACAATATACTATTGAAGAGTATCTCACAGAAAATATCCTAATTCGTTCATGATTCCTACTTTACTATGTTTTCTACACATGACATACTCAGTAAGGGCTTACTGAATGAATAAAAGGTCAAAATGGGCATTGAGTAGTTCAATTACTTTCACAATTCAAAACATGTTATATAAATGTCTCTACACCATTGTTTGGCTCTTTATCTTTTTTTTTCTCACATGAAGTCACAGTTTAATATAAAAACAATACATTAAGAGAATGAAAATTAATTTTATAAAGGGAATAAACTAATAAAATTTCAAGAGTCAACAAATCCCAGTAAGTAAAAAGAAGGTCTATATTTGTGAGTATGCAAAACAGAATTTATCCTTGTATAATTATTATTAATTATTGTATAACTATACAAACAACTATAAACTTACTTTTGTCCCACCTTGTATAGTTTTTGACTGCTGTGTTTAACTTTTGGAGATAGTTTAAGGGGAGGGATTTTTCTTCATATTTGAGCCAATATACACTTCACGGCTTGACAAAAATCCTTTTTTTATGGGTGGTTTACGCAATTTTTTATTATTTAAACAGTCAATAAATCATTTCATGGTACTTAAAAACCAACTATATTGAATTCACAATACTGTTCTTTTAAATTTATATCTATATAATCACTTCTAAAAATTTTTTTTTTCTTTGGGTGATATTTCTTTTTTTTTTTTTTTAGGGGGGAGGGTCTTGCGGCGGCGGGATTGCCTGCCGTTGTTTAAGCGTATCGACCGTATATTTCTTTTCTTAAACTATAATCCATTCTATAATTTCTCTAAAAAGTGCATGTAATACACCTTACCAGCATTTCACTTAAAGGCCAAGGCAACCCATCTTGATTTGTAAATGAGTTTTCATTACTTGGTTTCAATAGTTCATCGGTTATTACAATTTCATAGACCCTGTTATGACAATATATCTTTGAAAATTTAAACCCTTTGTTGAGGGAAATTTTCAATAAAAGTCATACTCTGACAGGGACCACTACACAAGGCATTCATTTTGCTCTTTTATCCTTTAAAGGAAAAAAGACTTAATGCATCTTTCTTTAAAGTCTATTGGGTCACATTATATACTCCTCATTGAGAGAAAGTAATTTAAAAAAATAACAGGAACGAGGAATGAAATGAGCACTGACCTGTACTGGGTCGGCCCGTAGAGGTGTGGTCCAAAAAAGTAACTGGAGTCTGCTCTGTTTTCTTGTGTCCAGTTTTTAACTATGAAACAAAATGAGGAATATGAAATGTCATTTTCTAAAGCAGGCCAAAGACCAGACTAGAAGCTCATGCTAACGTAAAAAGGACAGTTAAAGTCATTAAAGCAATAGTAAAAAAAAAAAAAAAACCCTCTAAAAATTGCACATATTCATCCTCAAACAAAGCAATTCAAAATCGAAGGTAACGACTGCTTTCAGCTCTACCACACAAGGAAAACAAAATCTAAGGCCATCTACCTTGACTCCCAAAAGGTTAATTATGGTATAACCACAAATAAGAAAGTCTAAGGGGCTGATAGATAATCTTCCACTCGATATCTGATTAGCATATATATATATATAAAATCATTTCTATTTCACTTATTGAAAGCCTACCTGAATATCATATTTTAATTTATAGCTAACAAAAATTTTAAAGAATATATACTCTATTTTATAACTTTGAGTACTATAGCAACTAGTTATTGGCTGTATTTATTTTGATGTAGAAACATCCTCTTCTGCATGGGTCTGTGAGGGAGAACTGAACTCTAGCATACACACATGTGAGGAGCGAAGCCCACCCACACCCGTGACTCAAATGGGCCTCACCACGTAGAGAAGCAGCTAAGGAGCATACGGTATGGAACACTGCCTGTCTTCGGTCAAGCAGAAACAGAAATAATAAAGAACCAAACCATGATGAAGGCTGTCTGAAAATAAAAATGACATTCCTGACATAGTTTGGAGTGATATCTAGGCATATCTTTGTGATGCCATTCCTGATCATGGTTTTCTGGAAAAAAGACACACTGACCTGAAAAAAATTCTATTTATTGGAACCCTGGCTGGCATAGCTCAGTGGATTGAGCACGGGCCTGTGAACCAGAGTATCATGGTTCAATTCCCAGTCAGGGCACATGCCTGGGTTGCAGGCCAGTTCCCAGCAGAGGATACATGAGAGGCAACCATACATTGACATTTCTCTTCCTCTCTCCTTCCCTTCCCCTCTAAAGAGAAATAAATAAAATATTTAAAAAAGAAAAGGAATATAAAATTTAGTATTAAATATTTTTTAAGAATTATATTTATTGGTAGCACAGTATAAAGATCTTTAAAAAAAATCTCTCAAGGAAATACCGGTCTGCTAGCAAGCTGTACTGCTGAAATTATAATTCTATAGGTCTATAACAAATACAAAAACATGACTGTATAAGTAAACAGGAATTTAAGATTACCTGATTCACCTGAAAAGAAGGTAAAACAGCATCAGTAGTTTGGGGAGTGGATGAGGTCTTTGGAGTTGGTATTTCTGGGGAAGAAGAAAGAAGACTAAACGTTGAGGGTTGAAGTCCATATTCTCCTGAAGTTTGTAAGAGGAATGTGCCCGATGGATTTTCTGGATGACTGCTGTCAGAATTCTGTCGTATGAATGCTATCTCCCAAGCAGATTCTGACCTAGCATTAAAAAGAAATCACTTTATGAATATATTATTGATATAGTACAAATGAATTCTAAGATAATGTTTTGTACATTATTTAAAAGTATTTCTTTTATGGCCTAAAGTACTTATGACATCTTAACTTACTAGTTTAAGGGAACATGCTACGTGACTCATTTTATCCTATGGATAGAATGGTTACCTGAACTTGGCTCTGGTAATTATGCTTTTGGCTTCTTCAAATGATACGCCAATCATAGATTCCTTGTTTATTGAGACAAGTTGATCTCCTGGCTTCAAACGTCCATCCTAATAAAAATAATAACACTTGTAAAGGAACTAATGAGAAGTTTAAAAAAATAAATATACGCTGAAAGCAAATTTTTAGTAAAGAACATCTTAAAGAAAGAGTATGAAAAAAAAACCTTGCGCAAAGAATCTCAGTAACAAAATAGTTTTGATTAAAGCCTAGTTTGCTAATACATGTGATGAACAGGAATAGTTCAGGTTGCCTTGCCTTGAGTGAACTTGCACGTTAAGGAACCCTGAACACTTGAAGAAATAACCCGGTACACAGGAGAGGAGACCTGCTGTCAAATCTCGGTACCGTGACACAGGCACAGCTCCGGCTCTGTGGTACAGCGGGCCAACGACCCCAGACTATTTTGGAACACAAGACTCATCCACTTCAGTTTCTGAACAGTCCTGCATCCTTCATCTCACCAAACCATTGGGATTTATCCCACAGAATGAATTTCAAAAATTCAGTCCAGCATCTTAATCATGTTAGTACTGCCCACATTTCAGCTCATGATCGAACATCTCTCCTGGATCTGCTCTCTCTGCTGTGACTCAGGACTGGCTGGTTGTGCACACAGCTTTAGTCACGTTCTACAAAAAGGCCACTTCTAAATGGCTCTCTGGCACTGTCTTTGTTAAGTCTAAGCCCTGCCTCTGACCAACCTAACTGAGTAAGTCGGAGCACAGGAGTTGCAAGATTTAATGTAATTGTTGGGCAAATTTCTCAGTCTCTATCTGTCTTTTCTCCTAATTCAAACTGGAGAAGAAGAATGAGTCCTCTTCGTTTTCAGTTCCTCAGCTACTTCTGAAAGTATCACTTGTACAAGGACAGACAGCATTCTTTAAATAACTAAGGAAGAAGCTTATATGGTTAAAAGGCCAGATTTTCACGCTGATGGCATTTAAGTAAATTCCACAATTTCAAGGAAATGCCTTTCTTCAAAGTCTTATCTAAGATACATTGCTTAGGTAACTGGTCTGTGATCTGAATTACATTACATATACTAATGGTGATTTATGGTTACTTTACTGCTATATAACAAGTTATTTTTGTTCTTTAAAAGGATATTTAATGACACTTCGTACACTGAATGCTGAGTACATACTAAACAATTAAATATAATATATAATTTTTTATCAAAAAATGTTGTGGAAACATGTTATCTCAAATATTGTGTAAAAGATATAAATAAATGCATAAATAGCCTATGATCCTTCTGAATTATAAACATATATAAAATTAAACCATAAAATACAATTTAATTTAACAATATATAAAACTTGAAAACTAGTTTGGATTTTTATAAACATATGATTAATATATGATTAATGCTAACTAGTGAAGCTAAAAATCATAATACACAGTTGCTATACTAACAAATGATTTTTTTTCTCCTTCCATCTGATTGATGTGTGGGGAGTAAAACACAAGGTAATGTTGGAAAGGCTAAGCAATACAGAGAAAGAATTTACTTCCACACATTCAGTAAAATGAAACAGCTGATCTTGTAAGATTTTCCAAACACAGTTCAGTACTTCTGGGCCCAGATCATATTACAGAGTTTGGTTACACATGCATTTGAATTAAGTATACCCAGACACTTATTTACATTAGCATGCAATTGGATATGCTTAATTTGAGTTTGAGGACAGCCATTCACTCACTCAAGGTTAAGGTGAAATGATAACAAGTAAGAAGAGGCACGTTTTGGCCATGGGCAAAAAAAAAAAAAGGCTAATAAAAGTTAGGGGAGAGTAAGAAATCTTGGAGTGCTAATTTCTGGGAGGGAGGGTGGAGGTTGTGATCTGGGGAACACGCAGGAAGCCTCAACAGCGCCCCGACTTTCTGCTCCTTAAGTCAGGGGGTGACCTCTAACTAGAGTCACAGGGGCTCATTTTATTGTCATGCTTTGTAAGTTAGATATATTTTCCAATATCCTTTTGAATGCATCAAATATTACCTTACAAAAAGAACATAAATCCTCCATCCCCCCAAATACACAGAAAGCTCATGTCATTTGCCCAACTCCGTGCCCAACCAGCTATGTTCTATTTTGATTCTATCTCCCAAACCTGGTATCCAAAATAAAGGTCAAATAGAGAAGTTTTCATCTAAGTTTAAAGTAAATTAATTAACTAATAAAATTAAATGAATGTGATTTTTAAATCCATATATAGAGAGGGGATCCAAAAAACACTGGAATTCTCTGGAGGGCAGGCCCCTTGTAGTACAGGCTTTCCCCACTTGGTGAGTGTTCTGGGAACCCATCTGTACCCACTATACCAGCTGGTGTTGTGAGAGGCTGGGTTTAGCTACAGTGCATTTTTTTTAAGCCTCGACACAGTTGTCCATTTCATGATGGGTAACTTACAAGTTACCTGCGCGCATCACACTGAGTGTTCAGCAGTTTGGGATCGAAAACGGCACGACCCCTGTGTCCCACCCTCCCTATTCACCTGCTCTTGCCTTGTGTGACTTTCTTCTGTTGCCTGGGATGAAAATGGTCCTCCAAGGGAAATGTTTTGCTGATGTATAAGTGAAATAACACGTGGCAGAAGCACTAAAAGCCATCAAAACGGATGTATTCAAAAACTGTTCTGAGCAGTGGAAAAATATCTCGATGAGTGTACTGTATCAAATGGAGTGTACTTGGACGGTGACTGAAATTTAAACATGTAGAAATAAATACAATTTTTTATAAGTAAATTACAGGGTTTTTTTGGTCCCTCTTTCTAGACTTCTATCCCAAAAGCCTGGCAACAATTTAGGGGGGAAAGGGAAAATATAAAGAAAGCCCTCCTTCACTGGAGCAAATCATTTAAAAGTCACTGACCAGGAAAGAAAGGTCCTTCTAGAAATGGGTGGTAGGTATTAATTATTAGATTACTTTTGTGTTAATTCTTGGCCTTAACAGTTCCTTCTATTAAGCTTTCTTAAAAAGAGGGAATTCCACAACGATGACTGTACTTCAGATGGCAGCTCAACTGTCTTTCCTTGGGGCAGGAGCTTTCAGAGGCAGTGGGCTCAAGTGGAACGAGCACCGGGTCGGCAAGGAGACGGCCTGCATTCAAATGGGAGCTCTGTGACCTGCTAGCTAGACATTGTTCATCAACAATGAGAGAGAAGGTGGTGGGCGGGGAGGTGCCTGCTCCCCTCCACCAAAAAAAACACATAACTAAATTCTAAAGTGTTTGAGGCAGCTCCTGTATCTATGTATCTTATAGAAATCACAGCTGGTTGTCAGGGTTGCGGAGAAAAAGGCTACAGAAAATAGAAGCAGGCAACAGCGTCTAGGCTGACCTACAACCTCCCACATTCTCCTCGCAGGCTGTATGTATAGTGTTAGCAGCACAGAGAGACGCAGAAAGGCTCTCATAAAGGCTCTCATAAAGGCAATTTAACATATCTTATGGTAAAGTACACTGATGTATTTAAGCAGCATTTTCAAGCAGGACAAGTCAGAGAAGAGAGGAAGGATAATGCCTTCCGACGATGGCTTCTGTGTTTATATATATTCTTTCTAAAAAGTATGCACAGCAGTAGGGTTTTTTCTTTGTTCTCTAGAATAAAATCTTAGCTGATCGTGTGAATTTCTGAACCTGTTTAAAAGTCAGAACCTGCAAGCTAAAACAAAGCTATTTTTGTCAGCGTCTGGCATTCAAAAGCAGTGAATTCTGCCCCAGCTGGATTAATGTATATGTGGAGATACTAACTTCAGAGGCCTCTTCCACGCTGTCTAGATTCTGACTCAGCAGTTACTGAGCAACTACACAACACCATCGGCAAGGTGCCAGGCACTTTCATGTGCCCAGCTCCAGAGTCTAGAATCTTGCTGGCTGACATTTGTAAAGATGTTGAATTGGTAATGTATTCCTGACTATTTTAATGCTCCTGTTATAAACTACCAACACTGTTTGTTTCATATTATAGAGATGATTATATAGTTTTCTAAATCGCGTGTTATCAGAAACCATCTACACTGTCTGACTGTGATTTAATGAACTCATTATTCCTAAATACTAAGGAGTGCTCTTGCAAGCCTTTGGACCCTTTCCCATACTGCCATAAACTGTCACCTGGAGGTGTCCTTCTTTTATCACCAGTTATGTATCTGAATCTCAGTGAGTTGTGTTGAGTCTCCGTGAGACTCCACTTTCTTAGCTGTTCAGTGGGGATAAACATCTACCACACTAGGTTGGTGTCAGGATTAAATAACACACATAAAACCCTAGCACACTGCAGGTGTTAAACACGGGTGAGTAAACCAGAATCCCAAATCCGTTACAGGCAATTTCCACACTGGCAGCAAATTTAATCCTGTTACTCCTAAATTAAGACCTGTGATGACTGCCCAATGGTGGAAAAGGTGAAACTCCTGAACTTCCCAAACCCGGCACCACGGACGAGCCGCGCCCTACTTTTCCCAGCCTCGGCGCCCACCTGCCCTGCTCGGCATGTAAATTCTTCGTTCTATTTTCAGAAAATGTTCTTCAAACACTAGTGCTTTCACACGTGCTAATTTCTGTCTAGAATGACACCACCCACCCTGTCACTTCTCTATCTGATGAACTCACTGAAACTTCACAGCCAAAATCAAGCGTTCTCTCTGCTGTAAGTTTCCCCCAGCTCCCTGGATTTACTTAATCGTTCCTTTCTCTTTGCTCCAGGAGCTGCTTTAATTACCTACATGCTTGCATTTCCCTTATGCTGTCCTTACTTTTTTAGACAGCCTTGAGAGCAGGGGTCCCTAATCTCCCTCCTCCCCCTCCGTCGGTGGAGGCCGGGTCTGAGCTGCGCCTCCTGTCTCCCCACCCCCACACCCAGGTCCATGGAAAAACTCTCTTCCGTGAAACTGGTCCCTGGTGCCAAAAAGTTTGGCGACCGCCGCATGGGAGCATATGAACTCAGCGCCTCTCTGACTAGCAGCACTGGTTCTCGGCTGGCCAGCCCGTGTCCTCTTCATGGCTATTCCCCCAGCATAGTGCCAGGTACATAGTAAGTCCACAGTAAATTAATCAGGTCCAGGAAACAGAGGAAGTTACGGTGGCTTCAGCAGAAATCATCATGGATAAGGAGGACAGAGAGTGTGATATTGCAAAGTGAATCCTCCTGGATGCTACCCCTTCAGCTTCGCCAGTGGGATTGGTCTCTTTCCCCTTTGCCCTCCAGAGGCCGACGGCCTGTCTGTCTAAATAGCCTTGAACCCTGTTCCGGTGACATGCCCAGCATATTCTGAAAATAGACCTCCTCTGAAACTGAACAATGCCCTGCTGCAATCCTCTGTGAATGACAGCTAACCGTTAGTACCTATATTTCTGTGATCTTTGTATGTATCTATGGGGTTTGGCAAAAAGAGTCCTGCCTTCATTGTATCTAAAATGACATTGATTTTTAAGATATGCCATTCTTTTAAGTATCATTAAGAGAAAGCAATGCTGTCAATTACATTATAACATCGAATATAAGACTCATCCCAATTTCAGAGAAAGAGAGGGAGGGAGAGAAAATAATAATAATGTATCAGGTTTGAAGAAAAGCATTTGATTCCTGCCTGCTTTCCTAACATTATTAGCAGAAAAACAAAGAAGCAAACTGAAAACATGAACTTCAGTGTTATCCAGAATCTGACCCAAAGGGCCAGGGAGCAGGTACCTTGGTGTTGAGCCCAGATGGTGGCAGCAAAATGGTAAGCAGATCAGTAAGTCTCTGAAACGTGACAGACTGACAAAGGCGTCACCTACTCACTCATAAATACTAACTGAGTGATAAGCACGTGTCGGGCACCACACTTAGGGCTAAGAAGTGTATTGTGAATAAAGTCAGGGAGGATCCTTGCACTTAGGAGACATACTGTCTTGTGGCTCAGTTACTAAAACAATCACAGACAACACTTTATGATGACAAACTGAGGGAGATGAAGAAAAGCAACAGGACCCAGAAGCACATGTAGGAATAAAAAATCTGTTGTTTTTTTTTAAATTCTCTTAGAAAGTGCTCTTTGAATTGATATCCGGAAGTAATAAGAAAGCATGGGTGGAGGGAGTGGGGGCTGTTCCCAGTCAGAGAGAATGCACGTGAGATGAGAATGAACTTGGGTCCCTCCAGAAACTGAAAGGATGTCACTCTGGAAACACAGAGATGAAGAGCCAGGGAAATCAAGAGCAGAAGTCCCGCTTTATTGAATACAGAGCCTTGTAGGCGACTCAGTATTTGTAAGATCGGTCGGGAGGACAATGGGCGTGGTGCATAGAAACAGACAGAGCCAATTTGAGGTCTAGTGAAAACCGACGGCAGTTTAAGCTACGGTGATGGCAGTGGAGACCAAGAAGACAGGTGGGTCTCCAAGAAACATGGAGAGAGTAAAGTCAACAGTATGTGCGAATGAATCAGATGTTAAGGGAGTCAAAGGAGAAGGAGTAGTTAGAATGCTGTTTATTTATTTATTTATTTTGACTGTGCAGCTAGAAGGTATCACTCACCAAGCCTGGAAGCACTGGAAGAGGGCTTCTCTTGGAAGAGACAGGCAGGTGAGGGTGTGGCATGACTCTGAGTCCTGTTACAAATATGTTGAGTTTGAGATTCTTTAAGAGACCCAGGTGGGAATGTTGATGAGGCAATTGGATACCTTGGTCTGCAGCTTCAAGGAGTAGCTCGGCCAAAAAAGGTCTAAGATCAAACGTCGATGACTCCGGACTGACATGGACCAGGCAGTGAGGTGAAAGGGGACGTGGTGTCCTCATATTTCCTTAACTCAGTACACAGTGCACTTGTTTTTGAACTATAGGCTGCCTGTAGCTCGTAGAGCTGGGATAATCTTGTCTCCTACTTGAGCTGGTAGTATGTTCTCAAGATATCACAAATTCGAACTCTGAATACATTTTTCAAAGAAGCATAATATGTTTGTTACTGAACCAGAACTGCATTTCGTATCTGCCCAGTGGAAAGCACTGGAATGTGCCTATGGGGTGGAGGATGGGGTGGGGGTGGGGGCGGCAGCTAACCGCGGTTCCAGTAATTCCATAACATATGAAGTTTAGGGATATAAATGGAATACAATCCACCTATAATTTTGAGGTTGCCTGTATGGTTAGTTCTGAAACAATATGTTAAAATTAGAGGAAGTCAAAGCACTTACATGCATTTAAAAATATTAACAGTTGCTCAGTTCAACAACTTAACGAGGATAACCTTATAGCCTGTGTTTCCTATTTTGAATACTCCTACTACGCAGAAATTTTGTGCAGGTTAGGAATTTATTAATATTCTAACACAGTATTTAGAACACAGTAAATGCTATTATTGTGAAACTTTAAAAAAATAAAATAGCATCTATTTTGTATTTGCAGAGTAAATATGCCCAGAACTCTCTATCATGAGGAAGTACACAAAAATAAATGTAAGCATCGCACACTTATTTATTCTCTGTCTGCAACTTCATTTTGGCTGTTCTCTCTGGGACAGGACCAGTAAATCAAAGAACATTAATGACTCTCTGCTGCTCTCTAGTGGTAAGTACACACAATACAGTTCACTACAGGGTTTTGCTTTTTAATACCCTTTTAAACAACGGAATTCTAAGAAAACCAGAAACAGAGAGTACATATCATGAGTGTAATTTCTTATTCAGCCACTTATGACGGCTGATTAAGAGCCACTGAGCACACTGCCATCAATTTATTACTTTAATTACAAATATTTTTCATGGGCCTTTTAAAGTACAAATTGATACTTGTCTTAAAAGCAAACTCGTATCACTTGTTAGGTACTGTGATCTATTATTGCATTATATCGAGTGCAGTTTAAGAAACATCCTTAGTTATACTGAACACAAAGGCACACCCCTCAGCTTCAAAACTGAATACGAAACTTTTCAATGCTTACAAGAAAAATTTCACATTTGTTTGAATTTGTTTAAGGTTAGCATTAAATTTGTTAAAGGTAGCATTTAATAATTTAAATTCAATAGCCAAAGATTTATATCATTATAATATTGAAAACATTGTGTATTCTTACAATTCATGTACTTGGAAGATACATGAATTGTATCTCAACAAGATACAACAAGCCTGAAACAAAACCATTTCTATTATTTTGGAAGTTATTACTAAAACCGGTATTTTTTCCTAGCAAAGAAAAAAATCTAGATTAGATAAACTGCTTGCTAAACAAGTGTTTGGGGTAGGAATGGGGGTAAAAGCAGTACTATTTATTCAACCAAAACAACTAGAATAAGAAAACAACATGAACAAAACTAATGATAAGAGAATCCTTTCTCATACTATGCAGCTTGATATTATATTAAGTTCTTTATATCCTGTATATTTCCAGAAAGTAGTGGAGGCAATATTCAATGAAAGACATATATAATCACATTAATAAAACAATCAAAATGGCAATTAAATCCAAGAGATATGAGCATGCAAATAGTAATCAGTGTACTAACTAAATTGCTGGTATTGCACATCAAATTTGGGTCTGAGCCACCTACCAGCCAGAGGAAAAAGGAACTCATGATTTATATATTTCTTACATGGAAAAGCAGAGTAAGACTTTCTACTGGGTTGGCCAAAAAGTCCATATGGTTTTTTTCTATAAAATAAAAGACACATTTTTCATTTTCACCAATAACTTTATTGATTTGCATATTTTATGTCTGCTATCTACTGAGTGGTATAACATTGATTGTTCTCAATTAATATCTCGGTTTGATCACCATCAACTTCAACTGGTCTACCCAACCATGGAGGATTATCCAGCAAGAAGTCTTCAGCATGAAACTTTGCAAACCACTTCTGATACACTGGATCAGTCATAGCACCTTCTCCTCCACACACTGGACATATCTTTTTGTGTGTGTTTCATTGCGTTTTTACCTTTCTTGAAATAATAAAGCATAATATGCCAAAAATGTTGCATATTTTCTTCCATCTTCTATATTAAAATGGCTACACAAAAATTTACCAATTTTGGTTTTTTAAAAAATGCACTATGATATGACACTGTCATGATACAATCTAACAAAATTGTTTCCAATGAAGTTAAAGACAACTAAGCACTACTAGAGTCATCTTATGGGAAAAACCAAACGGACTTTTTGGCCAGCCCAATAATTCCTAAAAAAGGATATTTTCTAGTCTTAATTCTAAATCTAATTTCTCCTGTGAACAACTACTGATACAATCAGCAAACTCAGGAAGAATTACTCTAAATTCAGAAATGAGTGAGTTTTATTTCTGAGTATTTTTATTTTATTTTGTGTTTAGGAGAGGCTAAATAAATACAGTTCAAGTTTAAGTGACCCAACTTAATCCAAACACGGGGCAGTGGATAGAGAACATGTCTCCAAATATAATTTCTCAACCAAAAATAGGGTAAGAGTCGAACAGCTTATAATAATTAAAAAGATATAACCTTTCATTAGAGCCTGAAGTCTATTATATTCACATTTATTTCATATTCACTTTGTCGGTTTAAGGTCCTTGAGGGTAAAAGTCTGTTTTTCAATTCCTTGGTATCTTTCACTGAGAAATGGTCACAGTGGACATTGAGCTAATGCTAAAAATACACTGATGAACTATAAAACAAATCTCATCATTTGTGGTTTTGCTGTTTTGGCTGAGGGGTTTGTTGGTTTGTTCGCTTTTACCTTACAACAGTCTCCGCCAGGAACAATTTCCTGAATGTACACAAAGGGACCTTCATTCCGGTTAATCCCTCCTACGATCTTCAGACCCAGTCCTGTCTCCTTGGCAACTGTAATCATCTGAAAGGCAGGATCCCTAAAATAAAGGAATTAGCATTCACAGGTTAGCCTAGAGATCCTACTTTTCTTTAATCCACATGTTAAATCAGATTCTTAGATCTACATCACTCAAAGTCCTCAGTACATATTAGCAAATACATTTTTCAAAGTCTCTTGAAAGGAAAGCAATCAAACCAATTTTCTTACCTGTATTTTCATTTTCTTTATAAAACAATCAAACCATAGAAGAAATTACAGCAATAGTGCTTACTTCTTTGGGGAACAAAGAAAAATACTCTAAAAATATCACTTAGATAAATTTTTAAATGTATTAGAGGTGACTAAAAAGATTTACTTTTACTGATTTTTTAGACTCCACTGAAGAATTTCAATACTAAATGTTTTCACGAGTTAGGTAAGTGACTTTAAAAAACAAGTGCATGATTGAGTGCGGGCTGCGAACCAAAGGGTCACTGGTTTGATTCCCAGTCAGGGCACATGCCTGGGTTGCAGGCCAAGTCCCCCAGTGGGGGCCGCATGAGAGGCGACCACACATTGATGTTTCCCTCTCTTTCTCCCTCCCTTCCTCTCTCTAAAAATAAAAAGAGTTCTGTTTAAAAACAAATAAAAAAGACAAGTGCATGGCCATTTAAAACAAAATAAATATCATCTCTATTTGACTTGCAAGAAAAAAAGTTTATCCTTTTAATTTGGAAAGAGTATCTTCCTGGTACGAAGCACCTACTCTAGCTGTAATTTCTGCCAGATGTCAAAGCAATGCCATCAGAAAAGATGAACTTGTCAAAAGAATTCTGTGAGAGCTATACTCCCAAGTTAGGGTTTTGAACACTTTGTACAGAGCATTTACTGTTACTGGTTAATCAAGTTTGAAATAAGGCTTAGGGCTGCCTGCTTATTTATTATGTACTGAGTATCGTACTAAATAATAAACATATATTATGCCATTCAATTTAGCATTTATAAAGTTCCTAAGATTATTACCCTCCTTTTTATAAAGGAATGAAAACCTGGAGAGGCTAAGCTGGTGGCCTATGGTTACCACACTGGAGGACGGCAATGTGAACTAGTCCCTCTCACTCCAGAGGCAAAATGTGGCATGAGACCTACTTACTGGCGTGTTGAAGCCACTGTTGAATACAGGACTTCCAGCTATCTTCAAACATATCAATGAACTGAGGCTATTAATAAAACAATTATTTACTTCATATTTTAGAAGTGGTCATAGCTTTCAGAAAAAGCTTTCTTAGTTTCTGCCACAGAAATTTCAACTACAGTTAAGTCCTCACTAAACATCATTGACAGGTTCTGGGACTTGAGTGAAAACAGTATATAATGAAGCCAATCTTACCATAGGCTGGTGGATATAAACAAGAGTCCCTACAGCATCTCATCAACGCCATAACAAAGTCATGCTGAACAAAATGATGTTCTTTGAGGACCTGCTGTATATCTTTAAGAAAACTTGTATTCAAATTTAGATTATAAAAAAATGAAGAAAGAAATCATTTAGGGTTGCATTACACTGCATTCAGCTCTAGTGTCTGAAGGCCTACCTGTCCATAGCTAAAAAAAGAACGGACTGACTCCAAAATGTTCTACTGTCATGGATTTTAGAGCCTCAACCCATTTTTGATGGGATATTAGGTTATAAGGGCATAAAGGAAGGAAGCACATAAGGGGAAGTGATAAAGGAGAGAAACAAGGTATCTCATTAGGCACCTCCAATAATCTCTAACTGTGAATTTCCTTTGATGGGGACCCACAAAATCTCCAGCACATATGATTTTGTCAGTAAAGCATCCCTCTTTTTCTAATCCCAATAGAATATCTGTGAGGATCCTATTTTTAAATTCCCCTAACGTAAAGAATTTATATTACTTTCTTTGCTGTTAAAAATAGTTCTGCTGCTCAGCTTTAATTGTAATAAAAAATTACAAGTTAAAACTAGGCAGAGCTAATGCTATTTGCCTATCGGATTAACATAAATGTGGAAAGTCAACAGCATACTCTGAGGACCAGGCTGGGGGAAAAGAGGTGCTCTCATACACTGTTGGTAGAAATACACAATGGTACAACCACTAAAAAGGGAATTTGCTCATCTCTAAATTTACCCTCTAATTTATACCAAAGATGCTCTGGCAAAAAATATGAAATGGCTTGATGCTAGGTTATTCATTTCAGCATAAATTCAAATGTCCATCGATAAAGTACTGGCTGAATAAACTATGCTACACCCACATGATAAAATACTATACAATTATAACAAGGTATAAGGAAGATCTTTATAATCTGATATGAAGTGATCATCAGGATATAATTTTAAGTAAAAAAAAAAGGCAAGGTCAAAATAGTATATGTGCTGCCTTTTTTTGTGAATGGGGCCACCCTACATCATTTAGTGCAGAAGAATTCAACATAAAATCAGAAGAAAGAATAAAAGCTTGCATTTTTAAGGTACTTTGGGGTGGTTTCTTACTCAGTAAAATTAATACTGTGTTATACTGAAATCATAAGCATTTTCTTGGCATTCGAAAATCAGATCTGTTTTTATAAAGCCATCTCAAAAAATAATTCCGAAAGAGAATGCAGAAGTTGCTCTACACACTGATTTACACCGAGAGGTGATTTTTGCTACACTTCTCATTACTGCTATCCTAACTATCATAGGTCATTAGCTGCATAAAACTGCCCACCAAATATTCATTAATAGTGCACGTATTTCAAACTGTTACAGTTCGGAGCATACTAAATTTGATTTAACACTTACTTTTCGAGTAGACCAGATGGCACTGTAGCAGATGTATTCTTATTCATGGTTTCACTGCAGTAGCCTTGCATTTAACGGTCGTGTAAATAAAAATCTTGATGTAGAGTCTAAATTCTTTTCCTAAGTCAGGGGAAGCAGAAAACAAATAATCACGTCTCTGAACAGTCAAATTTGCTTTAAAATTTGCAGAAAAACATTACATACATTTATATGTAGATGTCAGATATATTTTCAACTATTTTAGGCTATGTCATGTTAGTCACTGCTCATAGTTGTCTGAGAAATGTAAAGATAGTTCTGTAGATAAATAGATATAAGTATAGGAATATAACTACCTCATTACCAACATCTATACCTCTATAAAACCTGCATTTTCTGACAGAAGTGAAGGCTACAGCATTAGAGCTTCTCCCATGAGTAAGCTTAAAAAGCACATAATAACGAAAGACTGAGGGAGATGTCTCTTGTGAGCACACGGCTAGGAAGTTTATAGTCAGATTATCTGCAGAATAATTATACAATACACTGTTGGAGAAAATAGAAAATAGAAATTTCTGTTGTCTCGCCAACTATTTTGAGGGACTTCCTGCAGAACCTAGATTACTCTGACTCATAGTACTCCACAAACTTCAATATTTTCCTACCAAAATAAAAACAATGTTTTAATGACTCATAGCTCCACTGTGAAAATTACAGGGAATAGTGGTTGCATTTAATTTAAAAAGATAATATTTGAATAGAGATTCACCACCTCTGCATAAGAAATATGAGCGCAATATACAAACTTACAGCTAAAAAAGATTTCAGGATTATTTAGCGCAACGCCTGTTACTAAAGGAATCAGCAGCGAGAGTCAGGGAGGTGTGCACTCCCCTCACCGTGGCTGCTTCCCAGTGAGAATTCGGGCCAGGGAACTGGAGCAGGGGCCTCGACATCAGATACCCCTGGGCCCCAAGGGTACCCGCAAGCCTTTCCGAGTCTGTTTCTTCATAAGCATAGTAGGCAATAGCAATGGTTTTACAAACGAATACACATGTCAAAACTTACCAGACTGTTTCACTTTAAATATGTGTTGCTTGTTATAAATCAGTTATACCTTAATAAAGTTAAATTTTTTTTAAAAAATCTGATTTTCTGTTAAAAATGGCAGTGTGACCTTGGCTTATATCTTCTTATTCTTGAAAAAGCCTACTAATTAATATGTGAGCAAAGGGTTTACGGAAAGGATAAACTCACAATGCTAATGAATAAATGGAAGAATTGATTCCAGTATTTCATGTTAATTTCACCTGAAATTATTCTGTTTAAAAAAAACGACAACACTTTGAAATTCTCCTTGCCCCTGGTTTTGCATTTGAGAGCGCACTGTGTGGAGTCCAGTGCCAGGGTGTTGGTGTAGGTGTTCAGAGACCTGCACATCCCTCACCAGGACAACCGTTCGCTGGCTAAGTTCAAAACCCTGCTGTCACCAGGAATGATGAGCACATTCTCTGCGCTGGGAATTTTCACACCAAAGACTTGTTACAACTATCTGAGGACTCTGGCTGGTGAGGTTCCCACTGGGAGAGGAGACTCTGAATGACCTGAGAACCTGAATGACCCAGAACAGGAAGGTGTGGCTGTGAGGCGGTTCCAAACTGCTTTGCTCGGTGGACACTGAGTTATTTCTCGGGGAGATCCGGCCGGCTTAGCCCTGGTGCAGTGGCGGTGTGGTGTGGACCTTCTTGTCTCAGAACACACACACACACAAATGTGAAGCATTTGAGCATGAAAATAGACTCTACATTACCCCAGGTTCTGCCACTGGAGCACAGAACGCCTTGGAAACAAACAGTCCTTCACGTGTGTACAGGGATACCCGGGTTTCTACAGTGGTCACTCACGAGCATCAGCTACTTGGAGATGGTGTGAAAGAATGAACCAGATCCAAAAAAACACCTTAAAGCCAGGCCTGTCTTGATTTTTCTGTTGATTTTTTTAATACACTGATTTTAATACACTAATTGGGGAGTATTTTCTTTTTAAATTTCTCTTTAAAACCTCTGGTCTGGCCCAGGAATGGAATGGGGTAGCCTACAGTCAGGTCTTTGGGGAGGAATTTGAGGGGAGAAAAAAGAGTACCCATGTGGTGAAATTTTACATCACGGTCGTTTCAGGAGAGGAGGAAGGCACCAGGTGCTGCTACTTGATAGATAATCTGTGTGGATCCTGTGACTGACAAGTTAGAAATACAAACTATTTATAGATGCATTGAAACTAATATTAAAAATGTAAATATTGCTTGTGTAGAGTTAGACCTATAGATTCAGAATTACACCTGAAGAGACAAAAAGTAACGGTGTTTAGAAACTGGTCATTTGTGCACTGTCACATCGGAGATGGTTCCAGACAGCATTAGCCATTTAGATAATCCTACAGGTTTTAAGAACATTGGCGACTTCCGCCAAGATGGAGGCATAGGTGGATGTGCCGTGCCTTCTCACACAACCAAGATTAGAGAAAACTAAATATTAGCAACAGAAAACACAGCCAGAACACGGAAAATTGAACTTTTCGGAAGTCCGTTAACAACAAATTCTTCAGCCTGACCGGTAAGGGCGAAACCAGCGGCTGGTGGAGCAGGGTTGCCAAGGACTGACTCAGGCCTGCGGAATACAGGCGCAGGGTCGGACCTAGTGAGCGAGCGACCGAGCGAGCGGACCGCCGGGCGAGACAGCGGGGCAGCGGGACTGCGTGTTGACTGAGGTCGGGCATTTGTGCGCGGGTGGACAGGCGAGGGAGTGGGTGGTTGGACCAGACCGGCAGGTCCCCACGGCAAGCCCCCACGGCAAGCGGCAGTGGAGGGCGCCGCCATTTCCCTGCTCTGACCCCACCTCCACATACAGACCAGCGACTCTGGTGGCCGGCCCAGGTGAACCACCCAAGGCGCTGCTCCTCCGCACCCAGCTGTGAGAAACAGCAGAGGGGGGCCGCCAATTCCCCGCTCTGCCACGCTCACCAGCGACCTGGGACAGCGCCTTAAGGCCCGAACAGACCAAAAATGGCGCAGGAGGATCTCAGAGCCCCAGGGCCAATAGATCTAAGCGATGAAGAAATAGCAAAACTCACAGACACACAGTTTAAAACATTGGTGATCAGGATCCTCACAGAACTGGTTGATTATACCGACAAATTAGACAAATATATGAAGGCGAAACTAATTGAAATGAATGGAATTGCACAGGACACCAATAGCAATGAAAAGGAAACTGGGACTCAAATCAATGGAGTGGACCAGAAGAAAGCAAATAATGGCCAAACAGAAAAGAGTCAAGAAGCAAGAATTCAAAAAAATGAGGAGAGGCTTTGGAACCTCCAGGACATCTTTAAACGCTCCAACATCCGAATTATAGGGGTACCAGAAGGGGGAAAGGCACAGCCACCAGTGGAAAACTTAATTGAACAAATAATAAAGGAGAATTTCCCCAATCTGGCAAAGGAAATAGACTTCCAAGAAATCCAGGAAGCTCAGAGAGTCCCAAAGTGATTGGACCAGGAAACACCCAAGGCACATCATAATTATATTAGCCAAAATTAAAATGAAGGAGAGAATCCTAGAAGCAGCAAGAGCTAAGGGGACAATCACCTATAAAGGAGTCCCCATCAGACTGTCAGCTGATTTCTCAAAAGAGACCTTACAGGCAAGAAGGGGCTGGAAAGAGGTATTCCAAGTCATGAAATCTAAAGACCTACATCCAAGATTGCTCTATCCAGCAAAACTTTCATTTAAAATGGAAGGACAGATAAAGTGCTTCTCAGATAAGATCAAATTCAAGGAGTTCATCATCACCAAGCCCTTATATGAAATGTTAAAGGGACTTATCTAAGAAAAAGAAGTTAAAGAAACATGAACAGTGAAAGGACAGCAAACTCACAGTTATTAAGAACCACACCTAAAACAAAAGCAAATTAAGAGGACAGCTGAACAGGAGCATAACCATAGAATGCAAGACAAGGAGGGGGGGGGGAGAAGGTACAGAAAATAAGTAGCATAGACAGTAGATAGAAAATAGATGGGGGGGCAAGAATAGCATGGAAAATATAGAATCTAAAGGACTTGAGACACATGGTCATAAACTAAAGGGGGGGTAATGGTGGGGATGAGGGGTAGGGTGAGGGGAATAAAGGGGGAATAGAACAACTGTAACAGCATAATCAATAAAAAAATTTAAAAAAGAACATTGGCAAAAATCAGGAATAACTCCCATCATTGGTCTAGACTTAACTGATTTTTTTAAATGACTTTAAGTTTCAAGAAATCAAATTATAAAAGACCAGAGGGCTCTTCTACTATCTCTTTTATTCTGTACCCAAAGGGAATTTTCCAGCCACTACTGTGCTTTTTCCCTTTCAGGAATGTAAACAGTTCAGGAGTGCTGATCATTTGTCCTGGGCTGGACACTGGGCATCTGCCTGTAACACACAGCCCGATCCTGCGGGAAATAGCAGGAAGCTTCAAAGGAGTCCCAGACTTTTTGAAACATGAGCTCTTCATCAGAGCAACAGCTCACTGTCCTCGGAAGTTTCCTTAGACTCTCTGACTCCCTTGCTCTCACCACACTCAGGCACTCACCCACCAGACAATGACTCAGAACGATCATGTGCAGGCCCTGTGCTATGTGCTTGAGTTACTGTGCTGAACGACCCAAGCCCCCTCCTTTTACAGGATTTACATTCTAGTATCGGGGGAAAAACAATGAACAAAGGAAACAGCAAAATGAACCAACTTTCAGATACCAAAATGGGATGTGATCAAATGTGACTGGACAGAGGAGTGCTCACTTGGACTGAGTAGTGGTGTTTCATCCAGGGAGGAAACCGAGGGATAAAGTATTTCCAGCAGAGACAAGGTCTCTGGGCAGCAACGTGAATCTGTGTTTACAGCACAGCCGGAAGCGTGGCTGGAGCGTGGTGAAGGCAGAGATAGATCGGAGGTAACCTTAGAGAAGTGGGCAGGGTCTCGATGAAGTGCGGTCTTAAGGGCCACGGGAAGGAGTTTGGATTTTTGCTTGGTCTTATTTCATACAACCTGACTATTCGCAGAAGACCTGAATTTGCCTTTGGTCTCTTACCTTTAACCTGTGCTATTCAGATAGGCTGATCAGCCTGTGTTATGTCGGAATGCCAGTTGGTGACTGTGTTTGGGACATAATATGTATATTGGGACAGTACAAAATAAAAATTCAAGGCTCCTGTTTAAAAAAAAAAACTATTTTGAGATAGTGACAGCAGAATATCAAAGTACAAGGGCCAACTAAGTTGGGGCCTCTCTGAACAGTTGGCCTGTGCAACTGCACAGATTGCACACCCACGGAGCCGGCCTTGGTCCCGATAAACATCACCTGAAAAAAATAAATGCCTTCTACTGATGAATGGTTTCTGGTTTCATTTCATCTTCTCTATCAGTCATGTAAACTTATCCAAAACCTTTAAAATGGAGTAGCCCCTGAAACATGTGACTTACAGGAAGATGCCAGGAATAAGGAGGGTATCAAGACTTACTGAGGCGACTGTATGCTATTAGTGTGAACTAATCTAATTGGAAAACAGTGATTACCCAGCCTAGTCTCGAGCAAACAAGAATTCACTTGTTCTTACTATTTACTCAAATGCATTACTCTCCCACTTCTAGGTACAAGGAAAATCTTGTAACATATAACTACCAAATAAATAGTTGTTTGTGCTGCTAGATTGTTAGGTATTTCTCATTGCGAAATAAACCCAGTAACTTTATTAGACAAACAGTTAAACACAGTTTAGTGACTAACACATTAAGATTTAAGTTGCAATTTCATTAATTTATATTATCCATTAAAAATGCCAAAAAGTAACTAGAAACCAAATTCTAAACATAACACATCTGGATAATCCTTTAGGTCTTCAGAAAGTCTGAAATCAGATAAGAAAACGTGTGACTATTAAAATTTTTTTTCTTTCTTTTCCACCTTCATCATTTCTCTCACTCCCCAACCCCAAAATGATTTGTATACAAAATAACGACCTATTATACGTACTATATAAAATTAGACACAATCATAGCTAACTACGGTTCATGATTTATGGCTGAAGAAGGACATTGCAAGTTAAAGGCGCCAAGTCTGAAACTGCAGTGTGGCCCCTGACATTTGAAGTCCCTAATCAGCACCCACCTCTCCCTGCAGAACAGGGCTGAGCTAGCCTTCCCTGCCGGGTTCCCACTCCCCTCAGGGCAGATTCCATTATCTAGCACTAGTTAACGTGATGATTTATGCATCATCACAGGCAGACTCTGACTCAGGAGAACTGCAGCCAACACCACTTTATTGCCATCTAGCTTATTGTTCTTTGGAAAGGAAGAGTTTCATTTGCAATTAAATGAAAGCAAGATAAAATAATAGAATCCAAGACAAAGACTCTGACTGACATTTACATGCACTGGTACCTGTTGCTACATGAAGGGGTTGCCTGGGGGATGTTGGAGGGAATGTGCTCTTGCTGTGGGTGACAGTAACATTTGCATGGGGTTATGTGAGTCCATGCTGTAAGAAATTTAAAATGTGACAGATCTTGTCCTGAAAGAGCTGACAATCTGGTATAAGAACTAAGGGAGAGAAGGATGAAAAAGATTTTCAAACATTCACACAAAACAGTACAAACAAATTAGTAGAATCACAGAATCTTGAGATTTTTGTGCCAGAGTAGAAAAGAGTCAGAAGGTGCTTGGGTTTGATTGGCTTTGCAATTTTCTGGCCTTGTGACCACAGGTTTAATCAAATACTCACTCAAGGTGACCATCATCACTCACCTGGACTGTTGCAATTGCCTACTTCCACTTTTGCCCCTCCCTTACCTTTAATCTATTCCGTACAACATAAACAATAAAAATGTGAATCAGATCGGATCACTTGTATGCTTCAAATTCACCCACAGCTTCCTATTAATTTCAGAATAAAATGCAAACCCTTGGGCAGGGTTAACAAGCCTCTGTATTATTTGGCCCCTGTATACCCGCTTTGACCCCCATTTCCTAACCACTGTACTTCCTGCTCACTGCGCTACAAACGCATTGGCCTCTTTTCTGTTCTTCTCTTGCCTTGCCTCCAGGGCCTTGCCAGACTTGGAATTGTCTTTGTATAGGCAGCTCCTTATCATTCAGGACTAGGCTCAAATGTCACATCTTAGGTAAGACTTGACTTTACTACTCTTCCTCCTCATTATTTAAAATCACACTATTATCAAAGAGAGGCAACCGAGAACTCAGGCTGCCTCCATTGAGAGACACCCCCCCCCCCCGCTGCTGCCTGCGCCTCGAGATCACACCAGCCTCCCTGAGAACAAGCCCCACTACCATGACCACCAGCCGCGCTAACCTCCGACCAACAGCCACCGAGGTGCCGAGTGACAGCAAAGGAGGCAGCATGAGTGAGGAGGGCAAGGCCACCGCCATCCTCCCTCAGGCTCCTGCAGTCCCCCCAGGACCCTGCACCTAAGAGCCCGGTGGGTGGTGGCATGTCGCAGGCCGAGGCCCTAGCACCCTGCACCCTTGACCCAGGCAGCCCCTGTGTCCCGTGGCCCCTGCCTCTTCAGCCCCAGGAAAAAAGTTCTTGCCACCAAAGTCCTTGGAACTGTCAACTGGTTCAACATCGGAAATGGATATGGATTTATCGATAATCGGAATGACACCAGAGAAGATGTATTTGTACATCAGACTGCCACCATCAAGGAAAACAACCCACGGAAATACCTGCCAAGTGTGGCACAGGGAGAAACAGTCAAGTTCGAGGCCGTTGAAGGAGAGGGGGGTGCCGAGGCTGGCAGGGACGGGGCTCCCACAGAAGGGAGCCGCTACTCCGCTCACCGGCGCCGTTACAGAAGCTGCTACGGCGGTAGAGGCCACGGACCCGCCCGCAAAGCGAAGCGGGTGAGATTGGCGAGAAGGAGGACGTGGTCCCAGAGGGAGCGTCCAGGTCACCGAAACCTCAGGGGCCAGGTCACCGAAATCCAACTTGTCTCACGAGGCACCACCAGAGGCCTCCTGGCCCACGACCTGCCCCAGCTGTGGGAGAGCCTTGCTCCAGACACCCAGCAGAGCCGCGCTGGGGGCCTCCCGGCTCCCCAAGCACCTTCGCCCTCTGCAGGTGACCTACAGAATTTACGACCATTCTCAATCACCAGCAAATACAACACCAGAAATAGGTTATGGGCTACTTTTAACCTAAATAATATAAAAGTTGCAGTGTGGACCGAAAGAACACACTGTTAGGGTGGTGGTGTTTTTTTTTCCTTTCCTGGGTGGGAACTTTTTCATTTTGTCTTAAGGGGAGAAATCTGTTTACTTAGTAAAAGCTGTGGGAGGGGCTCTGGTGCAACACTAAATAGGTCATGACCGATAAAGTAACTGTTCATGTGTAAGCTGGTTTATAAAGGCCAATTCTGGTATATTAGGTCCACATGTCTCCTACAAAAATTCTGTAGTTAACATCAATATGGAGTACATTTTGTTAATGTCAAATCTAGTTTCCATTTTTCCTGGAAATGTGAAATGTGAATTCATGTTTACAAATGATGAGGGAGTTTAAAGAACTTAAAATGAGGCTTAAGTAATATTGAGCACTGTCTGGCTACAGTTAATTGTATCTAGATTCTAGGAAAAATAAATGATACTGGAAGTTAAAAAAAAAAAGAGTTAATCACCATTAAAAAAAAAAGCAAAAAGCAGACCACCACCTTTCCACACCGAAGAAACATCCAAGCAAGAACGTGGAAGATTAATAACCAAGACACAGACCTTGGAAGGTTTACAATTATTCTTTACAAAGCAAGTATAAAATGAGAATATCAGCTGATTTTTCCAGCAATTTTTCCGGGAATGCCTGCACAGAAGACAAGAGAGTAACTTCCCCGGTTTCAGCAGCCACTAACTACGTGTTATTTTTCCCCTGGTTTTTACTGTTTGGTAATATGAATTGAAAGAAGAAATATTAATACCACATGAGGAGAACTCCAACCAAAGAAATCTGAAATACATAGTAATGATTTTTTTTTACCTCCGTTTCATTCATTTTGGATGCTGGTGTTGTGATTTAAAAAGAAAATAAGTATTATGATTTAAAAAGAAATTTTATCCCTCCTTATTTATTTCTAGGTCGGAAGATAACATTTTGGCTTTCCTATGTGCTTCTCTTTGAAAACGAGCAGCATGAAGTGCCTCAAAAATAAAAGTTTACACTTGAAAAATAAAATCGCGTTATTATCCCATTGCTTCATTGTGCAGATTATGTGAAATTCACTTATTTATGTATTTGTTACTTGATTATCTCCTGAGTCATCAGAAGAAAGAACTCTCCTTAACAGAAGTGATCTTGTTGGACTTTTTCTATGTTGTAGCCTCCAGGAAGTTGAACAGCAAGAGTGAAAATTCTCCGTGTATAATGCGCACCCACGCGTCCGTGCGCATTACACATGGGATTATTATGCCCACCGTATATATAATCATTATACCTATGTATAATGCTTATCCTTATTTTTCCATCAAAATTTTGGGCCAAAAAAAAGTGTGCATCGGACAACGGCAAAACGGTAACTGTTGAATGACAGAGTCATTTCCCTTCTCAGGTGGCTCTGCTCATCAGAAAGAAAGCCTGACATTTACTAGTTTTTTACTGTGCCTCGAGCACTGTGAAAACACTTTGCATGTATACTCACACTGTTATAATTCCCATTTTGCACTAAGGTCACGAATCTTAGGTCAAATAACTGGCCTAAGGACACAAGGCCATAGTAAACACCCCGGGATATATCCAGACTTAACGCCCGAATCTGAGCTCTTAACCGCTACTTTCTAGTTCCTTTGCATTACAGCAAAATCAGCTACGCTGTCTGTCTCCCTCGGGTCCTAGTTTGTCCTGTGGTGTAACTGAAGGCTATCACATCCCACATACATTTCTTTTCCAAGATGACCCCCCCCCTTCTTTCAGTCTTTCTTTAAATGATCCTCATAGCCTGATCATTCTCCTCTAAACAAACTTCAGGTGAACGGCGTTTCTCCCGGTCCACAAGGTAATTACTGAGCCCAAGGTAATTTCACTGGGCAAGAAGTTAAGCAGCGTCGGAGCAGTGGAAGCCGACTCCCGGGGACTGAGAAAATGCACGTGAGTGTCCCAGTGGGCTGTGGTTAGACATCACAGGAAGGCTTCCTAAGACAGGTGATCCTTGAGCCCAGCTCCGGGGCGGGCCGAGTACCCCAGGTAAAAGCACCACGGGACCGCGGCCGCTGGGGGCCGCTAGGCAGAGACAAAGGCTGATGGAGGTCAGGAAGATCAGGAACACAAGCCCGAGTGATGTGCGGGTGCACGCGATGGCGCGGAGGCGTTTTCCTATTAGTGAGGTACTGGAGGGAAGTAAACTGGGTGCAACAGTCATAAAGCAAAACGCGAACTTACCCGTAACCTGGCAACCCGGCCGCCGTAGCTCCACTACGGGCACTGACTCCGGAGGAGCCCGGTAGCCAAGGTAGCGGCAGGCTCAACTCAGATATCGCGGGACAGGGCAGACCTCGCGAGATCTTACCTCGAGCGTGACAGGCGGGCGTTCTTTCCGGGCGCTATGGGAGGGCTCTGGCGTCCAGGATGGAGATGCTTCGCTTGTTGGGGCTGGCGGTGGAGCCCCGGTGGGCCCCCTACCAGCCTTGCGGAGAGGGCGGGGCATTGTCTCAAGGCAGGGGGCAGTGGGACAGAAAGTGCTGAGAGGGGGCTGAGGCGGCTAGGAACATGGAGGCGCCCAAGCCTGGCCCGAGACTTGGCTGTGCAGCCGCCCCGGCGCCCGAAGAGCTCGAACCCTTACACGCGCGCGCAGGAGGAAGAATGGCGGCGGCGGAACAAGACCGTCCTTACGTATGTGGCCGCGACCGCCGTGGGCATGCTAGGGGCGTCCTACGCCGCCGTACCCTTGTATCGGCTCTATTGCCAGGTAGGGGCCGGCACTGCCTGCTGGGCGCTGTCACGTTGGAAGGGACGTCCGAAATGATTTCCCGAAGAGGAGACGGGCTCAGAAAGGTGACTTGTCCAAGGTCACCAAAAAAGTTAGCGGCAAAGCTCCAGATTCCACTCCCCTACAGTGATCGTACTTAGGTACATGGGAAAGCCCGCGATCTCTGACTTACACCTCATTAGAAGGGTCCGCCGCCTATACTCTGAAATCCAGCAAGCTGCCTTACCCTCCTGCTGCTTACACACGCGCCCGATTTTAAAGTGTAATTATATTAATACATTTCATTCTGTGAACCTCATGGTTTGTGCGTGAAGGTTTACCAAGACGCATGAATTGGGCCTTTGAGGATCCCATCCTCGTTAATATATAAACTGTAATGTGCTTGCCCTGGGCTCCCTTTTAGATCAGAAAGTAGATTGTTCTCAAAGTGTGGTCCTGCGTACCAACACCGTCAATGTCACCTGGAAATGATTGCAAAATCTTGGGCCCTACCTCTGAACTACTGAATCAGGAACTTTGGGGTCAGGGCCCAACAATTTGTAATTTAATAAGTCCTCTAGCTGATTTTGGTGCAAACTGAATTTTTGATAACCATTGGTAAAGGCAAACTTCACCTATTTCTGAAGTAGTAATTTGCTTTTTTGGCTGGGCATTAGGATCACCAGTGAAGATGCCAGGACTCTCCTGCCCCCTGGGATTCTGGTTAGATATGGGTAGGGGCCAGGAGTTTGTGTTTAAAAAACATGCTGTAAGTGAGAGCTACATACCAGGCTCATCTGTGTTTGAGAGTCATTCTCAAATTTTGTTGTCCGTGGGCGTCACCTGGGGAACTTTTTAAAACCCTGAAACCCAGATCACGTCCCTGTCCCGTTAAATGAAAATGTTTTGGAGTGGAAATCAGGCATTATTAATATTTTCGAGAGTCCTCAGAATCTTTGATTCTGCTGCTGTTAATGCCTGGCTTACTTTCCCTGAGTTTATGGACATTAAATTGCCTTTATAGAGTATGTTGATTTGGAGAGAGAGAGAGAGAGAGAGAGAGAAACATTGATCTGCTGTCTCCCTTACGTGCACCGCCTGGGGATGGAACCTTCGTCCTTTTCGTGTACAGGACTGCGCTGCAACCAACTTAGCTGCATCCAGCCAGGGCGCATGTTTTATAATGACTGGAACAAGTCAAAAGGACTTTTCAGTCTCCTGATATCAGCGTTTATGTGAGAAAAAGTGCAGTTGCTTGATATCTAGAGGGTGAGTGTAGAATGTGAATCAGTTTTCACCAGTGGCCAACCTGAAACAAGCATGAATCCCCAAAACTACCAGTGGGTGAAATAAATGGAACTGAATCGAAAACAATATACTCCTAGATCTCCACAAACCTCTGGGGAGGGGGGAGGTCAATTTTATTCCTCGGAATGTTTAGCAATGCCTAGAGACATTTTTTGATTGCCACACCTGGAAGGTGAGGGAGGGTGCTACTGGTATCTGGTGGGTAGAGGCTAGGGATACTGCTAAACATCTGACACTGAACAGGACAGTGTCACCCCTCAAAAAAAAGTATCCAACCCAAAATGTCAGTAGTGCCCAGGTTGAGAAATCCTGCCCCAAACTGAGTAAATGACAGTATTTTGTGTAGGCGCAGGGCAAAAAAGTAAGAAGTTGTAACTTGTGATCTTAAACTTAAATCACAGTTTGATGTTACATAGTGACATTTCCAAGAGAGCATCTCTTTCACTTCTGGGATCAGAACATTAGAGAAAGAAATAAGGGATTGTATAAACCACTTAACACAGTAACCTCACTTTATGAAAAGTGTAGCACAAAGAAAGTAAGATGTACTTAGTTCTTGGAACTTGTTAGTAGCAGAACTAGACTAGAGACCAGGACGTATTTTCTTTCCAGTGCCCTTTCCTATCCTTGTTTATCTAATTATTAGACTTATAAATTTAAACAATCTATATTTCAAGACTGCCTGTCAGAGAGAATACATTAAGGGATCTATATTCAAGTGACTCAAACTCCTCAGGAAAAGGAGTTACATTTTAAAACTTAAGTATTATAACCCTCCTGGGCAGAAGGAATATATTTATCTATTAAGGATAAATAAAGGTTTGCCCTCCAAAGCATTATTTCTGGGGTATAATGTAATTTGATAATGTTGCATGGCAGTCAGGTGAAGCTAGCTGACTGGTGTAATAAGCAGAAGGAAGATAGTAATGATTATATTTTGCTGTGAGTCTTCCCCTAGCCTCAAATTTGGTATTTTTTCCCTAGTATAGTAATAGATTAATCTGGAGACCAGAATTCTGGCAACCTCGTGCATCAGAAGAGTGATGGCCCTGAAAGTAAGATTTTCTTAAGCATTTTTGATGATAAAGGCAATAATGACAATGAAGATAGGGAAGAAGTGTCATACAGGATTATTCTGGTGCCTCATGATTAGTTGATTCAGCAGCCAGATGGATCAAGTTCTCTTAACTGTTGGATGACTGTAAAAGCTGAACTATACCAAAAGTACAGGAAAAAATTACTGACACGGGAAAATACTTATGCTACTGAGAAAAGGGGACTACAGAACTGAAGCTACACTAAGGACCACATAGGAATGTGAAAAATGGGCTTAGTTAAATAGTTTTACTGAAGTGACAGGATTGTGGGTTCATTTTATTTCTATTAATAGTAGTTGATATGAAATACTAGCAATAAATGAAAGCAGGTTTCATGAAAAGCTAAATATTCTGAGCTGTATTACCAGTGCAAAGTCTGCTCTCTTCCAAATGACTCATTTTTGATATCACATAACCAAGTGATTAGAGAAAAAAATACGACTGTAACAAATACAGGCTCCTTGACACACCCAAGGTGGTTAAATCATTGACATGTTCATAGTCATGGTTAGTGATATATATAAATTTAGCTTCTAAATAGTTTAAGTGTTTTTATCCAAAAAATAGATCATCAGCACCTAAAAATAATATTTAACATGTTGTACTTTATTTTTCTAGACAACTGGACTCGGAGGATCAGTAACGGCAGGTCATGCATCAGACCAGATTGAACACATGGTGCCCGTTAAAGACCGTATCATTAAAGTCACCTTTAATGCAGATGTGCATGCAAGTCTCCAGTGGAACTTCAGGCCTCAGCAAACAGAAATATATGTAAGTGTTTAAAGCACTTATTAAAAGTTACTTTGTTCAGTGTAAAATGATTTGCAGTGTAGAAATGTCCTCCATTACTTAAACTGTTTCAGTTTAGGAAACAGATCTAAATTATAATTTCAAAATACTGACAGACTACATTACTGTAATTCTTTTATTTCCACAGATTTTTTTTTGACAGTGCCCTACAGGTAATAAATAGAATATACTTTAACTTTTCAGTTACATGGTACTATATAGTAAAAGACAGTTTGGAACAGTGGAAAATGTCGTGTTTTTATGAGAATCATGTTAAGAGTTCACTGAAAAGTTCTCCAGTCTGTACTGATCTTTAGAGGAGTAGCTGTTACATAAACTTTTCCTTAAGTATAAATTATTGGGTAGGGAAAATGTTGAAAATTATTGCTTATAATAGAAAAGTAAGCCCTGGCTGGTATGGCTCAGTGGATTGAGTGCTGGCCTGCGAACCAAAGGGTCATGGATTTGATTCCCAGTCAGGGCAAGTGTCCGGGTTGTGGGGGAGGTCCCCATTGGGGACATGAGAGAGACAACCACACATTGATGTTTCTCTCTGTCCTCCCCATCTTCCCCTCTGTCTAAAAATAAAATTTTTTACAAATCTTTTTAAAAAAAAGTTTACTAATTTACATCAAAAGTCTCCCTGTCCCTTAAAACATAAAATTTGAGGACCTTTGAAGTAACCATACTAGTCAGGTTTTACTGCAGCAAGACTATACATACCTAGAAGGTTCCCTAAAATCTTAATTAACTGGAATTCGGGAGGGTTTACTGAAATTCTCTCGACTTGAGGAAGAGCCAGAAAAGTTTAATTGTAACTCTAACTAGAAAACCTTTATTAGTGCTTTCCCAGGTTAGTAAACATGGTTGAGTCTGTTCATTGGTTGGGGATTATTTAGGTTATGATTTTGAATATTAGTTCCAATCATATAGTAGTAAATAAGGTATCAGTGGCTGAATTAATAACAAATGACAGAAATTGATTTTTAAAACTTGCAACTTTATTTTTTTTCTCAAAAATTATGAGTGCTTTTTGGTTAAATAAAAATTCTGTTGCAGACCGGTGCAACCATTATGGAAACAGTATGGAATTTTCTCAGAAAAATAAAAATCGACCTGCCTTTTGACCCAGCAATTCCACTGCTAGGATTATATCCTAAGAATCCTAAAACATCAATAGCAAAGAACCTATGTACCACAATGTCCATAGCAGCACAATTTACAATAGCCAAGAGCTGGAAGCAACCTAGGTGCCCGTCAGTAAATGAATGGATCAAAAAATTGTGGTACATACACACAATGGAATTCTCTGCAGCAGAGAGAAAGAAGGAGCTACTACCCTTTGCAACAATGTGGACGGAACTGGAAAGCATTATGCTGAATGAAATAGGCCGGAACTGGAAAGCATTATGCTGAGTGAAATAGGCCGGAACTGGAAAGCATTATGCTGAGTGAAATAGGCCAGGCGTTGGAAGACAAATACCATATGATCTCACCTTTAACAGGAAGCTAAACAACAAAACAAACAAGCAAGCAGAATAAAAACCAAAGACACTGAAATAGAGAACAAGTGGGCAGTGACCAGAGGGGAGAGGGAAGGGAATTTAAGGGGGAAAAGGGAGGGATTTTGAGGAACAAGTATGAAGGACACAAGGATGAGGACTAGGGGGGGAGGAAATGGGAGGGAGGGGGGAGACCGGGTGGGGGGGGGGGGTGGGATGGGAGAAATAGGCAAAAAAAAATGTACTTGAAAAATAACTAAATAAAATTTAAAAAATTCTGTTAAGTCACATTTTCTCTGGTTATGAGTTTAATTACTTTGTAAGCTAAGTTTAATGTTGGTAACCCTTTGCAAAGAATTTTTAGTCCATCATAATGATATTTAGGAATAAATGTTAAGAAATTAGGCTTGAATAGTGATGTCCTTGAAAGCATTTTAAATTAATTTGCAGATTATTGCTCAAAGACTTTAGATATGGGAGAGGACAATGCATTACTATGCACAATTGAACCCTGGTTCTTCACTGATATCTGCAAGTTTGAAAAATCAGATGGTCATGGACAGTAATCACTATTTTGCTGACTCTCAGCATTAGTTTACATTAGGTATTATGGTCTGATGGTTAGGAAAAATAATAAGACTAATTGAGACTTTAATTATTGACAGTGTATATGTGTTTTTAAAAACAGGTGGTGCCTGGAGAGACTGCACTGGCATTTTATAAAGCTAAGAATCCTACTGACAAACCAATAATTGGAATTTCTACATACAATGTTGTACCATTTGAAGCTGGACAGTATTTCAATAAAATACAGGTACTAGTAAATGCAAACAGTAGAATATCATAAAAGTACAAAAAACTGTGTAGTGCTAAATTTACTGCAGTGTTTTAGTAGGTACTGATTTCTGAAAACTCTCTTCTTCTAAACCTCATACTGGGTTTTCATTGCTTATAACAGCTGTGTAGAGGTTTAGAGCCAAACCAAATGTAAATCTGCTTTGAGATTGGAATTTGCTGATTCTCAACCCTGAAAGTAGAACTCATTTTGAAATGAAAAGATGCTGTGCTGTTATCCCATCAGAGAACTTAAAGGTTATGTTTAACAGTATGCTTATTAAAGCTAAGAATGTACTGTTTCTATTATAATAGAATGGAAATATTAATAAACAAATACCTTTCTATAACTTCTAGTGCTTCTGTTTCGAAGAACAACGGCTTAATCCACAAGAAGAAGTAGATATGCCAGTGTTTTTCTTCATTGATCCTGAATTTGCTGAAGATCCAAGAATGGTGAATGTTGATCTCATCACCCTTTCTTACACATTTTTTGAAGCAAAGGAGGGTCACACATTGCCACTTCCAGGCTATAAGTGAAGTTAGCAACTAAGTCCTGCTTCATATTTGTGATTTTTGAAAAATCATGTATCTTGTCTTCTCAGAAGAGAAACATTCTATAATAATCCATGATATTTTATGCTATTTTAAATATGTAGTGATTTTTTTCCCCTAATTTTGCCCTGCTTAAGATAGAGAACAGGTTCATCTTTTTATCATAAGGAATCCTTATGTCTAGTTAGAATGTATGACTGTTCAAAACCATACTTCGCTAAGCAGTGTTAAAAGAAACTGCTTTGTTTCATGAATATGCAGGCATGGACTTGATGGTTCAGCTTAATTCATTGGTCCCCTTCCAGATGATCAGAACTTCATACTTGTTAGCAGTAATTTTTTTTTATGCCTAATGTTGTCTGAGGCTGTAGGTCAGAACTTCTGACTGTATTTTTAAAACAGTTGGTTACTACTTTTTTCCCATTGTGCACAGTCACGATTTTAAGAAGTCAAAATGGAAGAGGAATCACTAAGCCCTAACAGTTTGCCCAAAGATTATATTTTGATTTCAGATGCGACTGTTTTTCCTTTAAGATCTAGAGCAATTTACATTCAAAGTACTGAATAATTTGAAATTTTGGTATCATGAAAATACAATATTAGGTTCTTAATATTTCATGTGATAGTTCCAAGTCCCTGAATGCTGAAATGTAAGTGTAAGAAATGTGGAGATTCCTGGCATCACAAGTTCCGTAACAAACAAACTCTGTAAAAAAGATGTATTAATTTGTTTTAATAGTAATTTCTCATTGTAATTTATGACATAAATGAATGTATAATTTATTCTGCATGTTTTTCAGTGGTCTTTGTTCCAAATAGAAATATTGAATTGCAGTAAAAAAGAAAAAAAAGAGAACATTTAGTATTATAGAGAATTGTATTTAAAGGCAACTCGATGTAGCGTTTGGTGACTTCTTCAGGGTACCTGAAATACAAACTACAATATTAAGGGTTTTTTTACAATTCATCATTCTAAACAAGAATATTATTTATAAAGAAGTGCAAATAGACTTTTATATTTAACTTCAGTTAAATGAAGGCACTCACTATTCTTCTTGAATAGTACATTTAGTCTCTCCCATTTCACGCTTACATCTATTCAGAATTATTTTGTAATAAAAAGTGTTCATCTACTCTCATCACAGCCATGAGATGATTTCTAAAGGTGGGAAAGCCTGTGAAACATAAGATGCTCCAGTTAACCTGGTTGGCCTCCATACAGTGAATTTTCCTCCTGTTGAAGTTTTCAGTGAATATGTGAATATGAACAACTGGGTGAAAACCCAGTTGTTTTGAGATAAAACACGAACTGTCACTCTTCTGTTTAAATCTCACTGTTGCAGAGGAGAAATGTTCCACCGTGGTTGTGATGTGTGGGGTCGGTCTTGTCTGCTGGGCCTCAGAGCTGGACAGGGTCTGCCTTTTAGCGAGTTGTTACTCCTAATGCAGTTAGTGGGCTGGTCATTCACTTTTACCTGCAATAAACGGAACGCAGTCAAGCACCCCCATCCTTCCCTTCTCTTTCCCCATTCCTTGATAACGAGATCCACATATTAACAGAGGAAAAACAGCAATGTACTGTTTTCATTGTGGGGGTTGGTGTGAGGGAATAAGTAAGGTTAATAGGTTATAGTGGCCAAGCATTCATTGGTAAGTAAATGGGGTGACTAGCACAGCAAATGGGAATAATCCAGGCCCCTCTGGGGTAACAGTGACCGGTTTCTCCCAGTCCCAGTTTACAGGCGCCAGTTGCACATAAAAGATAAACGTCTGATTCCAGTGTTAGAAAGTTTTTGTTGATCATCTGTTTTTGTTGGCATTAATATTTCTACATATAAATAAACCTGCATTTCCAAAATTTATTACTTTTAGTTAACAAGGTCACAGAGAATGTATTTCATTAGTGAACAAGTTCATTTGGCTGAGTGATTTGGAGGAACTTGTGTAACTATTTCATTCATCACAGTGTCAGAGACTCAGGTGGCCCTTACAAAATGTAAATACTAAATAGAGAAAGTGGTATTTACACTGTAGTCACAGAATGTGGAATGAAGGTTGTGTAAGTGGAAGTCTTTACCTCAACAGTCACTGTGATTTTGAGTGCCTTTTTGGTGACAAACATCAATTTCTTCATATGTAGCTCTGAAACAAACAAACCATCATGGCAAAAGGGTTACATATCAGTTCCAAAGGACTATTTTGGCTTTTCACCCTAACTAAGAATCAGGTGCCTTCAGCTGTTCAGGCTGTATATGTGAATAAAAACACAAAATTCTGCCCTGAATCTTACACTACAGCATTCTTAGATTCTAATGGTGCGATTCCTATGCATCTTAAAAATATGTATGTTATATAATCAATTCATTTTAACTGTAATGTAATGACAAATATGGCTAAAATCTAGACAGTGTGCTTCTGCTTTAAAAAAAAAGGGGGGGGGCTGGTGTATCTCTCTACACAATGCCCCTTTCCACTCTTGGAAAGTGAATAAAAACTCTTCTCTTTGCAAAAAACAAAAAAATGGAAAATTGTCCACCTTTCCTTGGTTTTAAAACATTTTTAAAATATCCTGAATACAGCCTATTTAACCTATGTTTTTACAGTCCAAACTCCTGAGCCATCTTTAGCTTCAGTCATCTTTGTATTTTATATATAATAATTTTTGTATGACATCTTTCATACAATCCTTTATATATGTCTTATGTCTGTGGCTGGAAAATATCTCTATAAATATGACATAGCATAATACAGTAATACACAGCTGAAGAAAACTCATAAAAATCACAGCACTGTGAAGCCTCGCTCATCAACAGCATGAGGCCCTAGCATAATCCAGATAGTATTGTTAAGTTTCCCTATTAAGTTTGGTCTTTATTTTCCACAAAACTGTTTCAACCTCCTTCACTTTTAAGTCTCTGATATCCCTCCTCTCAGTGAGTCAGAAACCCCACTTCTTGATAAATGAAATACCTTGATTATGGAAACTTCCTCATCTTCCCATCACTTGAGTCTTCAAGTTTGTTCTCATCAGCACCATCACCTACTGTGATCCTCTCTAACCCTGGCTTCTCAAACACTTAACGTCCCTTGGTTATGCCCCTTCCCTAACTGAATCTCCAACCTCTCCCTGTCTCCTGGGTCTTACCCCTCAGCATTCACAGGTGCTCCAGCATCAATGGTGTGGTCCTTAATCCCCTGTCAGTAACCCTCTGGCTGCCAAACCACTTCCCAGCATCCCTTCATGTTGACGTTTCTAGTGTCATCTGCACTTACTGTTGCTACTCCACTCTTACTTATCAATGCGCTGAAGTTTGGCCTCTGTCCCCATCCATCCATCAACGTGGCTTTCACTAAAATCACAACTTCACTAAAATCACTTGACTCAAAAAACAATTGCAGCTCTCAACTTTAATGTCACTTCGTTAAACTTTCTCTAACCCTCATGTAAATTAGTTCTTCCTGTTATACATGATTTCGAGACACTATTTCATACCATTGATACATATTGTAAATACATTTGCCTGCCGATTTAATGTCTGCCTCCACAGCACATTTAACCTCCATGAGGACAGGGAGCATGTTTCTTGTTCATTGTGATAAATTAGGCCTTTATTGTCAATGTTCAGTGCATCTGTTGAATGAATTGTGTGTATATGTACGTACAAATCCTCAAATACTTTATTGTTCTGAAATTCTTAACCTGGGGTTCATGGACAACTAGCAATGTGAAAATCTCCAAGCTTCTCAGCAAGATTTTGGGCTTCTCCTGAGAAGTTCCTTGGATTTCATGAAACTTTCAAAGGAATGGAGATACCCTTACCCCTGGAGAAAGGAAGAACTACAATGGTAGAGAATTCCTAAACCTCGCTTCTCCAGCTTTAAACTGTGTCTCACCTTTAATATCTGTTGTACTGCCATACGTACTTACAACAGTTTCCTAAGTAACTAGAATTTAATCTGGTGTCCCAGTTCTTATTTGGGTACAGAAACTGATTTAAAAAAAAAAAAACAGTTTCTGGACAGCATACCTATTTAACCAATTTCTGATTCCTTAAATGCTAATACATTCAGTGATATTTTATCAGGCAGAATGACCCAGAGAAATTTCAAATCCTGTTAGGAAAAAATACTTAATGAGCACCTAAGCCTATTAAGATTTATCCATTAATTATTCCTAAATGGATCGGTGCACTGAGGGCTTAAACCAGGCGCTGAAATCTCAAATGCCTACATGGGGCTGGGAAGTGGAGTAAACGGGTGGAGGGGCCTGGTGGACTGTAGAGCTGGCCTAATCTTAAGGAGGCAGCCACTCTTCAGCCCCAGCCCATGGCTAGCTTGTAAAAATGCAGTCGCGGCATCTAAAAGAATCCAGAGTTCCAAGTTCTGTGTTTTTTTTTTGTTTTGTTTTGTTTTTAAATATCCCAGTGCATAACTGCTGGCAATTAATTTTAAAATGCATTATTTTAAATTCTGCACAGGTTCAACAAAACACAGCTGTGGGCAAAGATCCTGCCTGCAGGCCGCCAGTTTCTGAACAGTGATTTCCATAAACTTGCTTCATTGTCTTTAACAATTGGGGGGTAACCTGCAGTCAATCAAAGTATATTAAAGCGCTAATGAACCTACCATCCCATAACTATGTATATATACTTGAATAATAGGAACTCATAAAATCACAGGGCTTTAAGGATTTCAACTTATTTTTACGCTAGTACTTTATTAATCTATTTTAAGCATGTTATAGTCATATGTAGTAAAAACTAAAAACCAGTTGTTACATGAGATTTGGGGGGATTAGGAGTCAAGAATAGCTGAAACATCCCATCCATGTGGGTACTATGTGGTTAATCACTGACTAGTGCCCTTCTCAGGCTGGGGAGAACCTGACTTTCTGCCAAGGCATCTACGAGGACTCCATTAATTCACATGGTGGTTCCGGTTATTTCTTAATGTGCAACCCCAGCATTTTTATTTTTCACTCACAAGGCCGGGAACGGTAAGACCATTAAGAGCAACAGCTTCCATAAAACCTCATAAGTCATTTTTAATAAGGTCATCAATTTGTGCCAAGAGCCAAACAAAGTTACATGTATAGGCGAGCCCTGCTGGCTCTGCTACCTAGCACAGGGAACCAAGACAAAAAGAAAAATAAATGAATCATTATGTAAATGACTTACTCTGTAGTGACAGCAGGAGCTAAGGGATCAAACTCCATTACCTCGTAGTAATTGGGTGGCTGGAGATCATTCTTTGTCACCGCTGTAGGCAAAAAAGAAAATAAAGGTAGTAAACACCCACTGTGCTTTTTGAGGAAATATGCACAATTAGTATCCTCTTTATGGTTTGGATTTCAAACATAAGATCCCGACAAACACTGAGAACCAAAAACACACTGGTGTTCCAATACTACTCTCGTGCAGCAAACCTCTGTAACAAAATGACTTCAGATTTCAACTAGAGGGTCATTTTCCCTCAGTGATCAAAATTCAATATTCAGCACAACGTGAGCCTTTTTTTTTTTTTTTAGTTTCCTAATGTCATTCATAATGGTATTTTTCCTGAGTTTATTTCATGGACCTGAAAAGCGCAAATAAACTCCTCTAATTTTTCCTCTGTATGTTTACTTTCAATGACCAATAAACCTCTGGCAGACTCATTTATCCTCACAATTTTTCCTTATGCAAACAATAGCTTCTCAGGTACCTGGATGGTTGCCGGGCAAGGCTGGTGGCACCTGGTTAGATGCTGTGGTGGGAGTGGCCAGGAGACTCACTGGGTGTAGTAATGTTGCATTTGAATAGTCTGGAAACTGAAACGAGCAAAGTGCATATTCATCTACACATTCTACACTGATTATTATTATTATTATTATTATTATTATTATTATTTAGATTCTAGGCTTTCAAGTAGCACTACACGAATCATATGCTCTACTGGATGAGAAGTAGTACTTATGAACTATTACTTCAGTTTTTTAGCTAATAACCACTTACAGAATTTACTGCTTTTCTGTCTGGCTTTGTGCCCATTGCACCTCATCCCCATGTAAAATTTTAAAAATAGAGGTTTGCTTAAAAAAAAATAAAAGCAAAATATATAGTTCAATCCAGATTCTGTTGTTTTACACTAAATATAAAATCTCAGCCTTGAACAGGAAAAAAAAATTACCTTGACCCTATGGAAAGGCATAATGTGATGGTATTTAGAAATAATAAAGATGAAAAGTCTTAATTAGAAATAACTTTCTTGCAATTTTCCGTATTTGTTGCATAAATATGTCCTGGGTACTTCCTGGCTGCCAGGCACTACAGGTAGAGCAATAAGTCAAATGGAGCAGACAATCAGCAAACGGAAACAGATGTCAGAAGGCAAGTGCCCTAAGGAGAAAGGGCAATTGGGCAGGAGAGACGGCTGGGTGGGGTGGTTATCACTGTGATCGTCGTGGGTAGGGAATGCCTTCCCACTGCAGACAGTGAGCGCACCCTGACTCTGGAGCTGCCCTGTGACGACCGGAGGGGACCCAGGAGGTCATGTGCCCTGAAGTAGGGGAGGTCAGTGTGCTGGGAGTAGAGTGAGGCAAGGGTGAAAGGTGAGAAGGGAGGCTGGAGAGGTAACGGAGGGGGCATCGGATCAGCATTTCAAGCTTTTACTAAGTAAAGCGGAGTGAGGAAGAAAACCATACGTGGTTTTAGAGCAGGCGACTTTACTTTTTCAGGAAGATTGCTCTGGTTTCTAATTTGAGACTAGATGGTGCGGTGGCAGGTAGGAGTGGAGAGGGGGTGAAGGCTGAAGCAGGGCAACCCTTAGGAGACCACGGCAGGATCCACCTGGTGGCTCAGACTGGGACGTGGGACATGCAGGTAACGTACAGTGTAGGAAATGGAGCAGCCAAAGCACTTACCCTTGTGACCATGGACCTGAGGGAGGGGGTGGTGCCAGGTGGAGACAGGGCAAAGGGGGAAAATTAGGACAACTCTAATAGCATGATCAATAAAATATAATTTAAAAAAAGAGAGAGTAGTGGGGATAAGGGATATACGTTGAAGGTAAAGGGTAAAAATATGGAGGGTTAAGCACTGTTTTCCAAGGTTTTTGACCTGAGCAACTGAAACAGTGGTGTGGTCATTTGCTGAGGAGGGAAAGATGGCGGGAAGGGCGGGTTGGAACCCTGGGCTGGGACAGAAGCAAAGGAGATGAGAGAAGATCCAGAGAGTGGTGCCCGACAGCCACTTATGCAGAAGAGGAGGAAGTAAGTGATGTCATCACGGGCTGCTGACCAATCAGGTAAGAGGAGGACTGAAGACTGCAGTATTAGGTTCAGCAACAAGGTCACTGCTGCCCTGGCTAAGAGGGTGGAGTGCTGACAGCCTGTGACGTTTGTCAAAGGACTGGAACCAAGAAGTGGAGACGGCGAATACGAACACAATAGGAATTCTGGTCCTCTGTCATCTTTCTAACAGCAGGGAGACACAAGTTGTTTATCTTAAAAGATTTAAAAGACTTTCTCTGGCTGACTATTTCACTTAGCATAATACCCTCTAGTTCCACTCATGTTGCAAAGGTGGGATTTCATTCTTTTTTACAGGTATGTAATTTTCCATGGCATAAGTGTACTGCTTTCTCTTTATTCATCTATAAATAAGTCAGACAGAAAAAAGACAAATACCATATGCTTCCACTTATATGTGAAATCTCAATAATAAGCAAAAGAAACAAACTCATAGATTCGGAGAACATTTTGATGGTTGCCAGAAGGAAGGGAGCTAGGGATGGGTGAAAAGGGGGAGGGGGTTAAGAAGTACAAATTGCCAATTGTACAAACAGTCACGAGGATGTAAAGTACAGCATAGGGACTTTGGTCAATAATGCAATAATTACTATGTATGGTGTCAGACCGGTACCAGACTTAATCAGGGTGATTACCCTGTAAGTTAAAGAAATGTCTACTCCCTATGTTGTATGCATGAAACTACTATAATATTGTAAATCAACTGTAATGCAAAAAATTAGAATAAAAGAGTAAACAATAAGGAAAAGCCCTAACGAGCTATATCAATACATTATAAATACAAGGTGACAATGAGAAGAACATTAGAATTAACGACCAGGAGTTCCTCTTTGGCCATGCTAATCTGACTAGGCGCACTGCCAGCGAAGGGTTCATCACTTACGCTCTCGTATGTATGATCTGAGATGAGGTCTGGGCCGGTCCTCTGGGCAGACCTAGGGTAGTGCGATAACACAGCATGATTACCCTACAGTGAGAACACAAATGCAAGAAGTAAGGAGACTCCCCTGGTCTAAAAACGCAAAGTGCAATGTACCTTCAGACTGTACAAAAGTATTAATTTAAAAAAAACAATCCCACTGGGTTTTGTCCACCAGGTCATGATGCCCGAATACCACAGAGAGAAAAGACAGCACCGCCCCTTGGCAGTGGGGGCCCCGGGACACTGGAGTATGCACATACACCAGTAAAAACAGAGCCTTCGGTCTTTCCATCCCAGCAGCCACCACGCCATCCTTCCCCGAAGGGTGGGAGGTGATGCAGAGGAGGGGCTGGGAAGGAAGTAGGGCGTGCTGGTTCTGGGTACGTTGGAGGAGGCACACTTTATCTTGCCTCTCCCACTAAATGCGCCTAGAATACCTGGACAGAATGGATGCGTGGGGCAACTATTCGAGGACAGAAAAGTAAATAGTTCCAGGCTGGCAGGGAAAGAAGACAAGAACTTGAGCAGCACCGGTGAACTTACCGTTTTTTCTCCCCTGACGTCCCCTACCCAGAAACCCGAGACTGGGCAGCGAGGATGGACAGGGCTCTCAGTGCAGCCCTCTCCTTATCACTCACGGAGTCGTGAGCTCAGAGTGGGTGTGGAGACCCCTCCCCCACTGTCACACCCCTAGCACTAGGCAATCCCAAGGTGGCCACGGTGACATCGGGGGCATCAGGGGCCCACAGGGGTTAAAAACTCTGAGTGGGGGAAATCTTCCTCTCCAACAGGTAGAACTGTGACCCCTAGAGGACGGGGCAAACTCCCTTGTCTCTTTTTCCTTCTTGTCCTGCCACTTAGTCCCAGATACAAGCACCATGAAGAAAACGCACAGCATAGGAAAGCTCCTGTTTCTGATGGGAGAATGGAAAGGGCGAGTCCCAGGAAGGCAGAGTACCAGAGAAACTATGAAGAGAGACAAAACTGGGAAACAAACTCATAAAGTTGTTTGTGAAATCCTGGGCTCACCTCCGACCTGTGCCCCGGTGGATCCGTTCCCAGTGAGGATGCCAAAGACAGAACTGAGCACATGGCCAGCCGGCCAGACCCCGGACTGACCACTTAGTGGCACACACATGAGACAGGTCTGGATGGCACTGCAATGACAGGGACGACTTAGCTGCATTAGGACTGCAGCATATGGAAGGCAGATTAAAACCGCAGCACGAGCCTAACAAGGTCGTCTGCCTACTAATGCCGAAATGTCAACATTCTCCACAGGATTTAAGGAAGAAGCAAGTGTGCCATAACATTACAAATGCCCAATATACAATCCAAACTTACTAGGCATTCGAAGAGCCAGGAACATTTCAAATTGCAAGAGAAAAGACAGATCGACAGAGGCTGATATCATGAGGGCATTGATGCTGAAATTATCTGAGATTTTAGAGCAGCTCTTGGACACAAATGCTTCAGTAAAAACAACCGCAAACACTCGATAAAAAATGGAACCATAGATGTCTTAGCAAAGAGACACAGCATCTGAAGAGTCACATGGTAACTTTAGAATTGAAGACTATAGTCAGCAAAACTTAAAAATAATGACAGAATGAACTTAACATCAGATGGGGATGAGAGAGGACGCAGTGAGTGAACTTGAACACAGAGTGACAGAAATTATCGAATCTAAAAAAACAGGGAGGAAAGAAAAGGTGAGAGAAGTAATGAACAGACCCTAGGAATCTATGAGACAATGACAACAGACCTAGCATTTGTGTCAACAAGACTCCCAGAAGGACAGTGGAAAGTATGTAGGGCTAAAAAAAAATACTTGAACAGATAAAGGCTGAATACTTCATGAATTTGGTGAAAGACAACCCCACAGATTAAAGAACTTCAGTGGAGTCAGTTGGATGGTGGCTCCCCCAAAATGGAAGTCCTCGTCCTAATTCCTGGAACCCGTGAATGTCTCCTCATTTGGATAAAGGGTCTTTGCAGATGCATTTAAGTTAAGGATTTTGAGATGACAATATCATTCTGCGTTATTCAAGTGGGCCCCATCCCCAGTGACAAGCAAGCTTGAAAGAGAAAAGCAGTGACAATCTTAGACAGGAGAGGGCAATGTAAAGGTGGAGACAGAGACTGGAGCAGCGTGCAAACAAGCCAGGGATTGCCAATAGTCACCAGAGAATGAAAGGGGCAAAGAACAGCTTTTCCCCTAAAAACCCCGTTGTGTGGCCCTGCTGAATTTCAGAATTTTAGCCTCCAGAACTCGGAAAGTAAATTCCTGTGGTTTTAAACCACCCAGTTTGTGGTAATCTTTTTTTTTTTTTATGGTATCCACAGGAAACTAATACACTCAGTAAACCCCAAACAGAATAAACTGAAATCCATGCCCAGTCGTATCATAATCAAACTGTTCAAAATTAGGGGGGAAAAGGTTCTTGAAAGCACTGAGAGAGAAAACAACACAGGATCTACAAGGAACAACAATTTGAATACATGCAGGCTTCCCATTAGAAACCATTTAGATCAGAAGAGAGTGGAGTTAAACACTGCTGGAAAAAAATGAAGCGTTAACCCAGAATTCTATATCCAGTGAAAATACCCTTCAGGAACAAATATGAAATAAAGCCATACTACGGTGAAGTCAAATGAAAAGATTTCCACTGCTGATTGGCCTGCCGTAAGAGAATGGCTAAAGGAAATTCTTCAGGGAGAAGGGAAATTATACCAGAACGAAATAAAAGAGCAAGAGAAATGGTAAATATTACATAAATACAATAAACTATTTGCCTCTTCTTGAGTGGTTTGAAATACATATTTGTGGGTTGCGAGCGAAAATTATAATATTGTCTAGCAATCGTTTTTTCCAATATATATAGATGAAAATATGTGATAACTATAAGTGAGGGATTTACATGGTGAAAAGTTTCTACCTTTCCCTTCAAGTGGCCAAATACTGGTTCTAAGCAGCTTAAGTTCTGTATATGGAAATCTCTAGAACATCAGGCCCCTGACCCCATACAGAAACTACACCAAGATCATAATAGATAAAATAGAATACTGAAAACATTCACATAACCCAAAAGTATGCAGGAAACAGAGGAAAAAAGGAACACACAGAAAACATTACACAATAGTAGATCTTAATCCAAACATATAATTACATTAAATGGAAAGGGTCTAACCACACCACTTGAAGACAGAAATGATGAGAATACATAAAAATGCATGACACAACTACCTGCTATCTACAAGAAACTCACTCCAAATATCCTGATATAGTTACAAGTACAAAGATGGAACAAGATATCCCGCGCAAACACTAACTGAAAGAATGCCAGAGTGGCCATAGTAATATCAAAGTAGACATCAGGGCCAAGAAATTTACAAGGGACAAAGGGGGACATCACAAAATGATAAAAGGGTCAATTCGCCAAGAAGCTAGAACAATCCTAAATGCTTATTCACTTGTAATAGCTTCAAATACACAAAGCAAATACCATGTCTTAATAACAAGAACTATATACTGTATGATTCCATTTGGAAAGCATTCTCCAAAAGAGAAAACTACAGTGACGAGAACAGACCGGTGATGGCTGAGGTTGGGAAGGGCAGACGACAAAGTAACAATTCAAGGGACTTTTCTGGGCTGATGGAACTAGTCAGTATCCTGACTGTAGTGGTGGTTATATGAGTCTATGTCCATGTCAGAATCCACAGAACTGAACATCCAACAAAAGGGCGGGGTGTCCGTTTTACCATAAGGCTAACCTTTGGCAAGTGACTCGTTGTCCTCAGCCTTGGTTTCTTCACTGGTAATGAGAAAGATGGGGTACCTACCTCAGGCCTATTGGGAGACCTAGCAAGAAATTAGTAGGCTTTTCTTATTCTTCTCAGTCTGTTGCCTGATGGTAAGTGGACTATAAATAAGACCTATGACTTTACCCCATCATCACTGTTTCCCAAGGGTCTTTACTGTTCTGAATAATTTCATCATTCATTTGTTCCGTGATGAACAAATTAAACTGCAAACACAGTGGGGTCGGAAAAGCTCAAGACCAGAAGACATTTGGATGGTTAATTTCGCCTCTACTGCTGAATCAAAATTTCTGAGGGCCAGAAACTTTACCGTTTGATACACACAAGTGATTTTCGTGCACACTAAAGCGTGAGATCCAGGGGATTACTGAGTACAATATGCAACGATTAGCGAGAACTGCTACTTAACGGCTATATGAACTTGGGCAAGTTCGAGTCCCTAAGTTTCAGCCTTTCCTCCTGTAAAATGAGGATGATAGTAACAGCACTGACCCAAGAAATCTTTTGCAAAGATTAAATGAAATAAACCAAAACAGCGTAGCAAAGTCCCTGGCACATGGCAAGTACTTGGTAATCGGTGTGGCCATTACACTGAATGATTTTGAACCTCATTTCTCTTCCCCTTCCTTTGTCATTGTATTTCCTCTACTTTGTGTTCTCACTTTAAAAATAACAGAAACAGAGACAATTTATTGAAGGCTTACTATCCACCAGTGCTGGATTAGGGGGTAGAGCCAGCATCGCACAGGGTCTTTGTAAGAATTCTAGGAAGGAGTCTCCAAAGAAGGCTCAGTCTAGGTAAGTATCTGACCCAAGGTCGCACAGTTAGTAGGAAGCAGCAGTGCGGAGCCCCTGACTCAGGTGAGTCTGATTCTCAAGTCTCTAGTTTTCCTATCATGCTTCCTGAGGCAAGGAGCGGAGGGAGACGGTGTTAGCCCTGGGGTAGGACTGAATACTTACGGGGCTGTTTCTGTATTTCCCAAGGCTAGAAAATCCGCCTGTGGGTGAAGACTGGGTTGCAAGTTGTTCGTTACAAGAGGACGCGGAGAGCTGAAACCTAGGACACAAATTGGACTTGTTTGGATTTGAAACATTTTGTCGGTAACTCTTTCTGTTGCCTTTTCCACAATATTGAGAAAGAGAGAGAGAGAGAATTTCTGTCATCATAAAATGCTCTCAAATAGAAATTGAAGAGCCTCATTTTAGGGTGACTGGAAAGACAGAAATTCCCTGCCACAAAGAGAGGTCGTTGAAAAGGTAACAGATGTTACCATACTGCACTGGGTCTTATAAAATCCCAAGCTGATCAGGAATGAAAGGGATGTTATGTGCCTGGTTCTACCAACTTCAAAAACAAAACTCCGTTGTATACCCAGAGCTCTACCCTCAACTCTTAACTTCCCATCTTAAGTGTGACACCCCAAAGAGAATAATCATCCCCCCAAACCAAAAAAAAAAAAGCCTGATAAAAACTCAAGAAAACTCTTTAATGTATCAGACTCCACATACCCCACTGGTCTACATAACCAGGCAGCCCAACATGTCAGAAATAAAGCAAGTTTTAAGAAAACCACAAACTCAGTGATACCAAATATTTTCACTCTGGAAAAACCTCGTAAAGTAAGAGAAAAAATGAACTGATTTTAGTTTGGCAAAAACTTCTGGACTTCATCACTTTTTTTAATCATCCTTATTTTGTAATTTACCCAAACTTTTTGGGAATAAGGATAGCAGGAGATAACAGATTAGATAATACAAGTAACCCCAAGCCAACAATGCATTTTGTAAACATTCATTTACCTTCACAGAAACCCATTCGAGTGACCGCCATTCTCACTTTATAAGGCAGGAAAGCCTGAGAGGTTAAGTGGTTAAGAGGCGGCAGAACTGGGATTTCAACTCGACTCCTCTGACCAAAAAGCCTGTGTTTTCCCCTCCATTTCACCCCCAGGTGGATAAGGCCTCACAATTCCTGAATGTCTCTACAACCGATATTCCCTTATCTGATGCCACAGTATGGCAGAGACACCCAAAAACAGTAGTGTGTGGGTTCAGAGTACTGGCCAGAGCACCTCTATATATTCACGTGCAGGCCATGTGAATTGCAGGAGTCTAAGCCAATGGGATGGCTTTCAAGGGCTTCCTCCCTTAGTCACATGTCCCTCCTGTACTGAGTATGACCCAACCATTTGCCAAGAAATTACACTTCCTGATGATATAGTTCTGCCATTCAAACTGACTTCGGTCCTTCTCTGGCTGCATTTAATCATGAAACCAAGGAGAAGTATTTCACAGGGAGGTCTTCTGCTGGTGTAAAAGGCTCATGAGCTTGCTTACTTAAGTCTGAAAGCTGAGCATTCATGGCGTTGAGCTCTTCCAGGGAGGCCCTATGACTCGGAGGGCTGGGACTTAGGTCAACGAGCTCACAGGACGGGGCAGAAGGTTCACTGGAAGTCTGCAAATGAAGCACACAAAAACAGAATTTGGAAACACTGGGTTGGGTAGTTTATCACAGCTCTCTCCCCAGAAGACTTCCTTTGGAGAAAAGAGGCTCCTATATGAATGCATCTTGAGGGAGAACTCTCCATTCAATAGGCAACAGGAGTCCCAGTTCGTATCTCACCATCTGCATGGGCTCCAGCTTAGTTACAGCATCTTCTTATGACCTCTTATTAATAACTGAACAACATCAAGTTATCGAGACAATACTCTATACCACCAAAACCATCCCAGTCATTAAGGCATGTTTCCTCTTGTTAAGGCCTTTATTAACATAAATCTTGCTCCACACCATGTAATTTATAAACCGTTCAATTATATATTTTGTAACATTTCTATTTACTTACATTGGCATTTTCCCTCTGATTATTTTGCTCCAAAATCCTTTGTTGGTTTCGAGTAAACCTGTTTGAATTAGCAAAATGTAAATATTTAAAAGCATATGAATATGAAAATACTACAGTACTTAAATTCATTATCCATACATAAATATTTAGGAACAAAGACCATCAGCTTTATTATCATGGAATTCCCAATAAAGTACTTTAGTACCTTTTTTTCTGTTCACAGAGGTAACTATATCCTTAGAGAACACAGCAGGAAAAGGGAAGTTTGGTGTGGTTGGAGGGGGCTGTGGAAATTCCACTTTCCAGCCAGTGGGTCAGCAGCAAAGGGAACAGCCTGGGCTTCCGACATGCATCTGAGGTTGGCTGGGTGGGCACAGTTTTATTGAATGAGCCCTGAACCGGGGGCATCTGCTATTTTGGGTAGACTGTGTCAAAACTGAGTTGAATTTTAGGATGCCCAGCTGGCATTCCATAAACTGCTTGCTGGTGTGGAGTACCACGCCTGAGTGTTGTACAGACAGTGGAACTTTCATGTCCAAGTAATCTGAGGTCCTTGGGTGTCAGGTCTAAAAATGGTTTTGCCCCTCTAGATTTTTCATCTTTTATCTCTGTTCCTTCTCTTTGTTGAATGGATCAGGGGTCTGGAGTTGCTCAAAAATGGAAAACTATTAAAAATACTAATAATTCCATCACCCAGAAAAGGTCCCTAATCATTTTTATCACCTGAGAAACAATCCTTAACATCAGTACTTCCTTCCAGTTTATTTTTCTGTAAGTTAATCTGTTTTAAACTTAGTTAAAACCATTCTTTACATAATTCTGTATCTGAATTCAATTACTATACAAGCATTTTTCTAGTAATTCAGAAATATAATTTTTAGAGGCTGTACATTTTACCTTATGAACATATCACATATTAACTATTCTTATTATACTCAAATATTTAAAGTGTTCTCAATTTTGCCATTATGATTTTCCATAAAAATTCAAATACATTTATTCAATTTTTACCGTTTATCTTCATCTTGATAAGACACTTGATACCTACTAACAATACTAACCTTTTATAACTATTTAAAAGTTTATGCTGCTTGTACACTGCAGGTAAAGGAAGAGCAGTTAAACAAACAAACAAACAAACATAAAATGATGGGTTAGAAAGAATAGTAAAGTTGAAGGTAGAAGTCAAGGTTGAAGTGTCAGCATTGTATCAAGTAGCTGTATGACCATGGATACGACTTCTGATCCTCAGTTCTCCCTCTGCTAACAGAGAACAGCGACATCTGAACCATTTCCTCAGAAAGTTATTCTCAGCTGCAAAGTATCAGCAGATAACAGAGGTGGATGAATGTGGAAATATTTTTTTTGCAAACTAAGACTTGCTTTAGAAACACGGTGTTAATACTATACCACACTGACTCTGTGAACCTAAACACTTTGAAGTCTAAAAGCTTACAGTGAACTGGAATGTGCACTTGGTTTTAAGGATTTTTCTCTTTCTAAAACACATGCTTTTTCCTTCCATCTACATATGACACTGGCCTCTTGTATGCTAGTTAGTTACGTGCTGGGTCTGAACTCCCGTCACAGGTCAAGCCTTAAGGACAAATTTCTATTTCCTTTTATGCACAACTCTTCCCTGGAGGTGATGAGTGGAGACTTCTGGGGATGTTGGAATGGGGTGAATGTATTTTGCATATGGGATGGATATGAATCTTTGGGAACCTGAGGACAAATTATAATAGGCAACATGATGCCCCCCCCACGAAATATACCTGCACCCTAGTCAATAGGACAGTGAATATGTTCAGTTAGGTGGCAAATGGAAAGAAGGTGGCTAGTGAGCTAACTGCAACATGGAGATTATCCTGGAGATTATATGGAGGAGCCTAATGTAGTCACAAAGGTCCTGAAATTTGGAAGAGGGAGGCAGAAGAGGAAGCAAGAGTGATACAATGTGAGAAGGACTCTACTAGACCAGGGTCCCCCACCCCCAGGCCACCAGCACTGGTCTGTGGCCTGTTAGGAACTGGCTGCACATCAGGAGGTGAGCGGCCGGCAAACGAACAAAGCTTCACCTGTATTTACAGTTGCTTCGCAGCACTCACATTACTGCCTGAGCTCCCTTCCTGTCAGATCAGAGGTGCCATTAGCTTCTCGTAGCAGCAAGAAGCCTATTGTGAACTTTGCACGCAAGGGATCTAGGTTGCATGCTCCTTATGAGAATCTAATGATTAAAGATCTGAGTTGGACCTGAGGCGGTGATGCCAGTGCTGAGGAGTGGCTGCAAATACAGATTATCACTGGCAGAGAGGTTGGACTGCACAGAGTCCATAATAAATCAATTGCTTGCACACGCCTATCAAAACCCTGTAAGTGAGTGGCAAGGGACAATTAAGCTGTACCCTGTGGCAGGCTATAAAGATATCCCACAGTCCCTGGTACTAGTAAGGCTGAGCGTTGAACTAGATGATGTTGGCTTCCAAGATGGAGGGAGGGGGTCAGGGGCCAAGGAAAGTGGGAAGCTTCTGGAAGTTGCAAAAGTTTAGGGAACAGAGGAGGGGCCTCCGAAAAGGAAGGTGGCCCTGCTGACACCTTGGTGATACCCCGATGAGACCCATTTCAGATTCTTGCGGAAATGTAAGGTAGTGCGTTCATATTGTTTTAAGCTGAGTTTGTGATCATTTGTTACAGCAGCTATAGGAAACTAATACACCAGATGTATCTTTCCAAGAGGCAGGTTTCACTTTGAATCTTCCAACTTAGCGTTTCTGTCTCACAGTCAACTGCAGTTGCTTTTGGCCCACATGGTTCGAAGAAGCTGAATCAGAATGAGCCATTCATGGACATAATGCAGTCTGACATCTAGACCAAACACACACACATGCCCTTCAGAGGAAGCTTTTAGTCATTGGTCTTATGGGCGGCAACAGAATTCTCCAAAATGAAAACCAGAAGGCAGCACTCTACGGGAAACCATGTGGTCTTCCGTAGATGTTTTTCAGCTTACACAGATTTATGCCACAGGAAACAAAGGGCAAAGGACTGGGTGTGTGTTCTGAGCTGAGAGACCACCAATCACGGGGCCCACGGCCTCAGTCGACACCCTGTCATCTGTTCACATACATGGCTGCTGTCACTGATTCTTTTGGTTCATTCATCATCAGTGGCGGGAGAGAATCTTGTCAATAAGGCTCAGGGAAATGTTAACAGAGAGGAGGAAGAAATTAAATTTAATGAGCAACAATGTGCTAACACTCTACTAGGTGCTTTTAAATATATTATCTCATTTAATTTCCAAAAGAAAACCCTCCAAATAGGTAGTATTATCCTCTTGAACAAACGGGGAAAAAACCCTTCAGTCTTAGAAAATTAAAACAACTTGTCTGAAATCATCAAGATTGGGTCCAGGACTATTCTGCCAGGGCCCTCATTCTTCGTCAGCTGGCTGGACATACAGTCACTGGACATATTCCCAGTGATTCTCAACAGAGACGATCCTCCGAAGGGTGTCTCCAAATGCCTCTTTAGGAGGGGAACGCTGGCATTTAGTGAGGAGGGAGAGAACACTGTCCCCCCCAAAATGCCAATTCCGCTCTTACTAAGCAACATGGATCTGGAAAAGTGTAAGGATCTCAGAGGCAGCAGACTCTCTACAGTAGGAAGGAATAGGTTTGGAAAGAGGTCAGGAGACTCTGGAGCTATGTTTTCAGACTGGGAGAAGGCCACCAGTCCATCAAAGCATGCCGCAGCTCTTCGGGGCTGGGTTCTGGGGGCACACTCCCCCCAGGCCTATGGCACTTTCCCAGAGCTTTGCGACCTCTACCTGCTCTGGCTCTGCTCCCCATTTGATCAACTCCCACTCACCCCATAGTTCTCAGCTTGCATGGCACTTCCTCGGAGCAGCTGCCTTCTCCCCACTTGGACTGGGTCCCACTGCGACTCTCACCAAATAGGCCTCCTGTACTCGTTTCAGGGCATTTATCTCAATTTCCAAGTGTGGGTATGTACGATTTAAGGTGGTTTCCTACTATAAGATTAGAAGAACAGTTTTTGATGAATGAGTACATGAGTTAGAAATAATGTAAATGCCTAATAAGTGAACTGTGAGAGAAACATGGGCCATTATGCAGCATGCAGCTGTTAAAGAGAATGGTTTCCACCCTGAACAGCGTGGCTCAGTTGGCTGGACATCATCTGGCAAAGTGAAAGATCACCAGTTCGACTCCCAGTCCCCAGTCAGGGTGTGTACGAGAGGAAACCGATTAATGTTTCTCTCTCACATTCATTTTTTTCTTCCCTCTCTCCCTTCCTTCCCCTCTCTCACTTTAAAAAAAAAAAAAAGGTTTCCCAAAAGCATTTAGATATACAAGGCTTGTTATGCAGTAAATAAAATCAAGGGAGAAACCAAAGTATGTGTTCTCTATAGAAACATGAGTATAAAAAATTCAGAACTAAAATATTAGCGATAAAGTTATGAGTATTTAAAAATTTTCCTTTTATTCTTTTCTGAATGGAAAAAAATTTTTCTTAAATCTATGTTCCTATAAAAAGTTTCCTCACTGGCTGCTCTGGTTTCTCATAGACTATTTTCCCCATATAAAATTTTCTCTCCTCTTTTCCTATTCTCCATCTCAAACTTAGGGTCAATTTCACTTTCACCAAGATGCTTTGCTTCTAGCATTTTCATCTGTCTGAGAGCCTATGATGTGCTCGGGATGGACAACAGTCAGTGAATAAGATCCAGGTCCCTCTCACAAGCTGGGGGCTCAGGCTGCCCGAGAGTGCCCAACGATGCCCCTAGCGCGGCTCCTTCTTGCAAGCCACATCACCGTTCCCAGAAGGCCAGGACCAAGATACCCTATCTCGGGAGGAGGGCAGCCTTGTTCTGAACTTGTTCTTGATCTTCCTGGGTTCTCACCTTCTAGGCGCTCTAGTAAGAATGCTGAGTGACTGGTGGTGAAACTAGACTTGGGGTAGGGCTGGGAAGGGCGCGCGGTCTGCTCACCTCTCGTATCCAAGGATGGCATTATTCAAATCCTCATTCACCTGAATGAGCTCGACGGTTACATCTTCATTCTCCACCACCACCAGCAGGTCCATGATCCGCTCCTGCATCTCGCGACACGTCTTATAAAGTTTCTGTCCAAGAGAGGGGAGAGGTTTTTTCCCCATGTTTCCATGATTTTTTTTCCATGTTAGGATTGTTGTTCTATAAAGACAACTGATTCACCAATCTGTATATGCCTATGATCACCTTCCTCTACCCTGAGTGACCTACGAGTGATTACCAAGTATTTAACTATGCACAGCTCGTCCTTCTTCCCAGAAGGCAATGAAGCTATAGATGATTAAGAAGGTGTAACCTTCTTAATCAAAAATAGGTGTCATAAGAAGAAATTGGTGCAGGACTAAAAATTAGAACCAGAGTATGGGAATTCAGGGTGAACTGCTTATTAGCTAGCTGTACTGTTAAGGGCAAAAATCACTTGTTTCCTCAATCTCAATTTTCTCATTTGACACATGAAAATTATACTACTTGCCATATCTATCTCAAGGGCTGACGTTAAAATCAAATGAGATGTACATAATGAGGAACTCTATAGCTATGATGTACAACATACAACACAAAATGCACTTGTATTATTAGAGGTAGTGAGGAAAGAAGTAGCTCAAATACATTTATAGCAACATGATTTTCCTATTATGTTTCACTTAGGTAAACATTGAAAATGTGTAGCTACAGCACCGTATTCCAAGATAAGCTGAGCCAGAACTAAGAATGAGTCATGGATAATATCTTTATTTGAAGCACCTAGAATCCCCACAGGAAACCATGACTCCACTCCCCAAACCAACTGTGGCCCGTAAGCCTCAGAAGCACCTACAGCAGATTTGCTGATTCAGGATCTCTTAGGCTGAGGGTCTGGGAATCTACTTTTTTTTTTTTTTAAAGCAAGCATCCCAAGTGTTTCTTATATACACTGACATTTGAAAACTGCTGCCTTACAACTTAACTTTCTCCTAGGACACAGGTAGCAACCACAAGGCCCAAGAGCTGAGCCCGGCCCTCCACCTTGTTTTATCTGGCCCTACACCTTGTTTCTACCCAGTGGCATTGCTGAGCTCTTGCTTAACTACTAAGGAACAGTTATATTTATACAGTCCTAAAATTACATTCGGACCTTGGAAGGCAACTGCGAGGCTGATGTGGCCCCTGGTGAAAATGATTTGGGTACCCCTGTCCTGGGCAAACCTCCAAATAAGCCCAAGGAACATAAACCTGACAGTAATATTTCTTCAAACCCACCTTGGCTGGAGTTTGTCCACGTGATAGTATATTACCATCAGGCACAACCACAGTCCCTTTCACAACAAAAGCATTAGAACTTGTGAAGTCACCCTCCTGTTATATCACCTGATATTTCTCCCCTTAAGAGAGACCCGCTGAAAAACTTACACGTCACAAAACCACTTAAAATCTCAAACAATCTATTCAAGGCTCTGACAGGAAATCTAAATAAATAAATCAAACCATTACCAGCTGGCATTTAGACTTAAAGGTAAAAGCCACTACCCTCCACAAAAATCATAACCAAAATATTTACAAGGTGAAGGGAAAGCAGGGAAAAAGTGAGACAAATAGATCGATGATAGACTCTGGGTTTTACACCTGTAACATGCAGCCAGAAAACTCCCCTATTTGCTAAATAAACACTTGGCCACTATCAGCAATGTTAGCCAACATTTTTCTGCAAGGTCCAGTTATTAAAGTATTTTCTGCTTTGCAGGCCACATGTTCTCTGTCAAAATGACCTCACCGTGCATTATAACATGAAAGCAACCACAGTAAACGAAAGTAAATGAAGGGCTGTGGTCCCATCCTAATAAAACAAAGACAGGTGACAAGCTAAGTTTGGCTCACTTATGGCCCCTGGCACAGAGCAAAGGGAAAAGACTTTAAACTCGGTAGACCAAAGACCTCTCACATACACATACATACCTGACATGGGATTTTAGTTTCAGAGTTTCCCCTCCCTCCCCCTGCATCTATAAAACAAAGGTAACACAACATTCTTGTAGGGCTGTAAGACCAGGAAATGCTGTAGTTGAAACCCCCATCAGGCACACAGTGGGTAGTCAATAAATGTATTATGGTAGTGTCAGGAGATACCACTAGAAGATGAACTAGGTTGCTGTTACTCTCCTGTGATATTCACGCCACCCCCCAGGACCTGATGTACAAAGGAAAGAACTCAGAGGAGTATTTAATACAATCCCCATGATGAATGAGAAGTTTTCCTTTGCTCCTTCATTTGTGAGTATACAGAAATTATTCTTCCTGCTCGCTGGCAGCCTTGCTAGAGCAATGTCAAGATCAAGGAAATGCAATGGCTGTTAGAGGCCTGTGATGAAAAAAATGTAGAAATTAATTTAAAATGAATTTCAAATGAGTTTGCAACCAACATCCATAGCCCCTCGCTCCTCCCTCTCCCACTCCGGGGGTCATATGAAGACCCTCCCTTTGCCCTCTGGGGAGAGGGATGGAATGGAAACATGAAAGAAACCCCTCATCTCCCAGCAGGGTTGCAAAGCAGAATTTGAAAAGCCTCTTCAAAAGCCAGCCGACTCTGATCTTTACAATTGATGTCTGTCTCACAGGAGGGCCAAGCCACCTGGAAACAGTGCAGATCAAGCACCGTGGGCCAGGAGGACAGGCCAGAGGTTTCCCACAGCAGACACCTGCAGGGCTGTGGACGTGGGAAAGCAAGGGGGAGGGAGCAAAACACGCACAGTAAGAGCTGCTGGTAGGCACGTCTGCCCAGGAGCCCTTGGAATTGCCTCCCCTTACACCATATCTAAGCCGAGGCATGCCTCTAAGTTAAAGTGAATTGAACAAACAATTCAAAAGTCTTTGGAGCAAAACAAGAAGCTCATTAACAGCTTCCTCTCGCAGCATCCAGATGGCTTTTACTCCTCCACAGAGTGCTTGGCAATTAAGGAAGGAGATCCCTCTGTACTTTCACCTCCAGCTCTGATTGTGCCACGTTTGCCAACACAGAGCAATTCAACACAGAGAAAACGCAAGGTGCCCGAACATTTCCCTTTAAAAAAAGTAGACAGGAAGAAATGTGTTTACTGGAAAGCCTTTTCTAGAAATAATATCTGCACGGCAATACTCCTATTATCAGCCTATACCATATTTCCTTTCCCCCAGGGCACTGCGCCCAGGTTGCAGGAGACCCAGAGAACGTCTCTGTCGGCTCAAATTAAAAACTGCCCCCAGCCTACAACTGGACATTCCCCAGCCTAACTCATTCAGGCAGTCTCTTTGTGTTATGCAGGCCTCAGTGAATGAATGACAAATTAATTGTCAAGATAATCCTCAAGAAGATCATCAATTCATTAGAACCCTTCTGACTTGGTCCCAATGATAAATATCAACATTTATTTTAATCCTCACCCGAGGATTTTTTTTTCATTGCTTTTAGAGAAAGAGGAAGGGAGAGAAACATTGAGTTGGTTGCCTCCTATATGGGCCCAGACTGGGGACTGAACCGACAACCTAGGTATGAACGCTGACCAGGGATCACACCTGCAACCTTTTAGTTAGGGGACGATGCTCCAACCACACTGGCCAGGGCAAACATTGTCAACTGTTAGCTTACTGAAAGCCTTTGTCTTCAGTAACTCCTTAGCCCTTCTTTTGTCCTCCATCATTAATTCTTCAACGGAAAGCACTGGTCTATTCATGATACATTTAATGAACTCACTCATAAACTCTATAGTACAAAGCACATACTCTGAATATGCATAGTTGTATGGATTTACAAGTATAAGGCTTGGTTACTGCCTTCGAGTTGCTTCTATCCCAGCTAGAGAGCTAACACAAACCCACACAAAAGACAGCAGGTTAGCCATCTACACTAGAAAGCTAATCCTGGGTTCCACGTGAGAAGCGTGGTACCATGGAGAGAACACAGGCTCAGGGGGAGGCGATTCTCACTCCAGCTCCATCGCTGCCCCTGTGTGAGCAAACCAACCCCTTTCCGAATATGCAGTCTCATACAGAGAGAGACAGACTCAATGACAGTGAAGGTCCCTTCCACTCTTAGTACCTTACAAGCTTCTGAATGGTGAAGAAAGTCAGAGTGATCAGGGGGATGACGTTTGATTTTCCTCTCAGTTTTTTCTCAATTGCTTATAAATTAACTGTCACAGGATCAGATTTTACACTCACAGGATTTAATTTTTTTAAATTTTTTAATTTAATTGTTGTTCAAGTACAGTTTTCTGTCTTTTACTCCCATCCCAGCCCACCCCCCCAGTGCTCCCACCTCCCTCCCATTTCCACCCCCCCTTAGTTATTGTTCATGTGTCCTTTATACTAGTTCCTGTAAATCCTTCCCCCTTTTTCTCTGAAATCCCCTCCCTTCTCCCCTCTGGCCACTGTTTGCCTGTTCTCTATTTCAAGGTCTTTGGTTATATTTTACATTCACATGATTTTAAAAGTCTCTAATGAGTTACAGTAAGGCTCTGCCTAGTCATCCTCTCTAAATCTGAGCTCACTTCATTCTACAGAAGAAAACATTCTATTCTTTCACTGTTCTCTTGGGCGAGGCAAAAACAAGATAAGAAAGACTAGAATGGGAGGTACCAGGGAAAGTCAGCTATTCAAGGTCAGAGTAAGGTGGTTCAAAGCCAAGTGCGCAGGGCCAAGAAAGCAAATGCCAAGAACACGTACAGCAATATTTCATTCCTGTGACCACAGCTGACACTCTTAACTCATCACAATACTCCTTAGACTGGATGTAGCCTCAGGATCTTTGTAGTGTACTCCACCTTGGCAAACGGAAAAAAAAAAAAAAAAAAAAAAAGAAATCCAGTCTCTCCCCCTCCCCCAACCCCATGAAGTTCATAGTACACAAGCAACATAGTGGCAGGGAAAAACATTCACTTTGCAAAACAGTTTTGCTGCCTAAGAGCCGAACAAAGAGCAGAAGCCCTGTTAACTAGCAGAGCTTCAGGATACGACTGTTCAGCACGGAGTGGAGAACAGACTGGGGATTGATTCCAAGCGAGCACACTGGACCCTGGGTGGAAGGAAACAAGACGGAATGGGTTCCAAATGAACAGAACAG